ATTTTACTTTTCTGTATATTAACTGGATATTTGGTTTATATAAATATGCGTAGGAGTAGTCTAAAGTGTGATTTTTGTGTTTCGTTCTCAGTCAAAATTAGGGAATCCCGGCCAGATATACTCTTTTTCATATTAATGTGCATCAAGTAGGTTGTAGAATTCTAAATGCATCTTTATTCACACAAATAATGACATTCAGAACAAATTTAATCACATCAATAATGACAAAAATCTTTATGTTTGCCACCCTATGCTAATTACGGTGTTAGCTTTGATTATTTTTTGCTTTCTCAAAAACTGAGGTACCCATTTTGAGGGAGGATTGAGGTTAAGTTTGTTTGAATTTTCGCATGGTCACCAACTTAAAATGATCCCTTTCAACGACTACTTTGATGCACATTAATATGAAAACGACTATAGCTCCTAAACCAAATTTCTCTTTTTTCGTAAAATTCTATCAAGGAACACTTTATTTATTTCTATTATAAATTATACTTTAAGAGCAGTTCTTTTTTAGAACAAAGTAATACAATGAATTGAAACAAACAAAAATATAGTACATAATTTATTAAAAATTATTATTTCTTTTATTTAAGATTTTTGCAATTTTTAGTCTTTTTACAGTAAATTATAAAATTACAGTTTTCAAAAACTATTTACTCTATTGTTCCGTAGATGGCACGTCTCTAGTCATTTCCAAAATGTACTACCGGAAGAATTTATGGCTTGTGTAGAGACCATGCTCAACGCAAAAACGTTCAAACAAGTCTTCAAACGAAAAAAAAAAAAATGAATTTTTAAGAAAATCAGTAAAGATTTTTTTTTTTACAATTAGATGTTGTGCTTGAATTAAATCAGTACCTCACACACACAGTAACACAGAGTTTTTATCTCATTTTAAGTATTTGTAACGGACTATAAAATTCAATAGTTTTTATTTTTTTTATAAAAAAAAAAAAACGTATAGATCAAATTGCATGAAAAAAATACAGTAACATAAGTAGCTGATCCACAATACTCCAAAAATAAATCAAAAAATTCTTTCGTACAGTTTTCTTAAAAAAAAAAATGAAGTGGTCAAAAATAGAGTTTGTTTTTTTAATTTGTTTTTAAACGACATGGCCAAAAATTTTTAATTTAATATACAGAGTGTGTCCGAACTCGCTGCCTAAAAAAAAAATTCATGTAAGGTAAGATACCAGGATCATGGAACAATATGTAAAAAAATCTAGCTGTCAAAATTTGACGTTTGATATTTTTTATGTATTTTACCGGTGATCTTGTAAATGTTTTTTTATAATTATTTAGTAAACGTCCAAAAATTTAGTCAATAAAAGCCACAAATACCTAACAAAAATACAATTTAGGATACAGCTTCCTTGTTTTCTCTTCTAAAAGCCATTTTATGGACCGCAAGTTCTGGTGTACTTGTATATTGCTGTTAAGGCCATCAAAAAGTTATGATATTTTTTTCAGAATTTTTTATCTACGATTTATTTTTTATCAGTATAGTTCAACTTTAACCAAAATTAAATTTAATGAAACGGCAAATTTGGTCTTTCTAACACCAAAAGCTCTTTTTTTTTTCGTCTCCAAAAAACCGCATAACAAGTCATAACCCAGTATAACTTTAGCAGCTTTGACAGCTGTGCCTCCCAGACCAAAGATTACAACATAATACTTAGAACACGATATGACAAGCCATATGATTATATGATCATCTTTCTGACACGACTCTGATATGGCCTACCGCAAGCTTCCAACTGCACATTTCAAAAATTCCGATTTCTAACCACTTATCTGTAGGAAACACAATCATTAACAATCTGAAAACTCCGGGTTATGGCCATATAAAGTAGCCATAAATTCGAGGTAACGACGCATTAATTAATTTACGTGAAACGTGAGACTTAATAATATGTAAATTTGTTGCTTTTATCACCGAATTTTCCGACTTTTGTCTAACTGTATTTCACACAACGCAACGATGATGTAATTCGTGTTTTTGAAATTATTTTTGACTGACACATTAACTTATTTAAATGGATGATTATTGGAATTTTGAACCGAGAAGACAATAAAAGGGGAATTATACAGACATAAAGTGTTTAATTGCTTCACATGTTGTAAAAAAATAACAGATACTTGAACCTTTCGAAAAGTTTCCCATAACAAGCAATTCATTGGAGGATAGAATGATAGATAGACCTTGAATGTTTTTGTTATCAGTGCCAAAATTAATGAATTTGAAAGTAATTGAATGCAATTTGTTTTTGAATCAATCAAACTCCGCGAATTTAACGGTTTCGCTATTAATGAGCTAACGAAACTGGACTCAGTTGCAAAATGTTTGATCGAACTTTGTCAAAGCCATGACCGGTTCGCCTTTTACCATGTGTTGAATTAATTCACGTTATCTGCTAGTTTCCTGGTTTTTTACAAGCAAGCATATGTTCAATTACTTGTAGGTGCCAATGTGCACTATTTCACTTATGATTGCGATGCCCTGTGGTGTTAACGGTTCCGTATTAGATCCTTATGGCCCGGATTAAAACCCAACATTTTACATTAAAACAGTGTAATCTAGAAATAACTGTACGCGTGGTTAAAGCGTTGAAAAGGGAGCTACTAAATCACATTTTGCATGCGATTAGATAACTGTTTGATCGAGTTTAAATGCACGCGAGAGGTGATCTTGTTAGAAAATTCACACAAATATTGTTTTTGATAATTGTTTCTTTGTTTGCGAATTCGTAGCGGAACTGAGATTTAATTTTACGAGCAATTTAAGTTTTTGAGGTTAAAGCTCTGTTGCTCTGTCACCAGGAGGGCCAATTAATTCGGAATTCCTCGAATTTAACAAGATGATTGCGAACAAAGCAGTAATTTTGCAATTTTTCAAAGCGTTCACTAATATCTGATCCATTATTCAGATACAACCGATAGTTTCGAATTCCACCACATAATAATAACAGAGCTCAAAGCATGATTTGTTGAGATAGATCGTAAAATCGTACTGATAACGGTTATGGGACATTTTAAAACTTATTCGAACTGTTGTTAGAAATAACTCGTGCACGATCCGACCATTTATCCAAATAACTTTCATTCCAACAATACGATTTTGAAATAATTAGACGTTTCAGGTGAATTAGGTTCGTAAACAACGTCAATGATGAGGCGAGACCCTGACCGGTATAGACTTCGTCTCCAGTTGTGCAAATTTGAACTTTTAAATTGCACTTAATTTGACCGGATATAGAGCTATCGAGCGAAACCGTTTCCGCTCCTGAAGGTTTCTTCAAAACCGTTAACGCTGGAAGGTCGCGATTTATATAAATTCACTTTTATCAGATGAGAAACTTGATTAGAAACGGACTGAGAGGACTGCACGAAATTAAAAATTAGGAGCAATTTATTGTTCGAGTTTTAAAAATAATATAAATGATTTCACTTAGGTTTTATAAACAAAAATGCTACAAATTCTATATTTAACAACGACATAAATTTCACAGTTTTCACAACCCTTAATAAAACCTACAGGAAAGTTAAAAATAATCAAAATATATAGATCAGTTGTATAATGTTCTACAAAAATCTGTTTCAAAATCTTTCAATAGCCAAGAGTATTTTTTAAGAAAATAAAATAGTTAATAAACTAGATAACTTTCAATAAATAAATCAATAAAATACACGACAGTATCACTAATTAGAAGACCACGTGAATATTACATTAGACTAACATCTTCAAAATCGAGATTTAGAGATAATTATTACCAGGCAATAGCAAAGCAGGGGTTAAGGTTTGTTTATTATAAATATTATAATTAAGCAAGTAATAAAGTAAAAAATAAAAGTACATTTAAGACATAAAAATGACACTTTTCTATGTTTATTTAATGATACTGATAATCTTGTATATGCTTTTTTATAATTATTTAGTAAAGATACAAAAATTTTGCCAATAAAAGCCACAAATAACATATTAAACAGAGTTACAATTTAAAATACAGCTTCCTTGTTTTCTCTTCTAACAGCCCGTAGCAAAAAAACTTGAAAAATATTATTTTTCCAACAGAAATAAATAGAGTCAAAGTGCAAAGTTTAAACTCTCATAACTTCGAAATTTTTGTAGATAGGATTTTTTTAACATTTTTTCAATGTTCCTACTATCTTACCTTACATGACATTTTTCTCTGAGGCGCGAGTTCTGGCGCACCCTGTATTTTGAGAATAAAGAAATTACTCGTAAAAACGCTTTTGTAGCAACTTTTGCGCTATGTGGTATACGATTCTAAACTAAAATTTTGTGAGAAAATACCAGTTAAAATGCAAAATGGGAGATTTGTAGCAACATAAGCGTTTAAGTCTAATTTCTCATTATTTTGTGTAGAAGTGCATATATTTTGTAAATTAGCTTCTAAAGCAACTTAAAGTACTACTTATTCTAGCCAAAATCTTTGTATATTTGAGACTTTAGATTAAAAAATGTGTACAAGTCAGTTTTGGTTTTAAAAATAGTTGCTTTGAGTCAGAGTCGAACTTTGTCCATTTTTGCCGCCGTCCAGTCCGCCTCTGACTCCACGCTTTTTATATGGTCATCCTAGATGATTACAATAATTATGTAAACAGTTTGACGTGGCAAGGACACAGGTAATAGAAACATAACTGTACTCCTTCTCGTTTTGTTTACATAAACTACATAACTCCAAACTTTATTAACGGATCTCACTGATTAAATATTGACGCGATATTTCGAGGCTTTTTAACATAAAACCTTCACTTGGGGCCATGCAAATAATTAATTTTTTTGAACTTTGTATTCTAATCGAGCCTTAATTAGATCCTTGATGGACTTCCGTGTAATCACGATAATGCGTTGGCTGCTGAAGAATAAGTGCATATTGATTGTAATTATGTAACATTGTCAATAGCTGTGGGGGATTTAATGAACGCCTTACAGAGTCGATCAGCTGTAAATAATGTTTTGTTTGTTGCAGACTGCCCAGTCCTTTAGCGGGATTGGATTTGGTATAAAGCAAGAAATCTTTTTTCTAAATCTAGAGGACGGATACTTTGGATGCCAAGTCAACGAATCGACGGACGTTTTGCAACTATTCGAACTATCGAAATTATGCGACGGAGTTCCGAACTGTTTTTTAGGCTCGGACGAACTCAGCGACAAACTCAAGTGTACAAGTAAGTATTGAAAAGTATATTTCTCGAGTTTCAACAGGGCGTGACGTGTATTAATCCTTCTTATCGATCTTTAACGTAATCCGAGATTTGTTCGGTGTAACGAAGCAAGAATTTGCCACTTTCTGAAATATTTCCCGGTGTTAAGTTACAAAATAGTCGCCCGTTTTCCCATTAGTTGTTAACGTTTTCTTATTTGTCAGATGGAAGCTTCTAGCGTGGCTAAACATGGACAAAACGGGTGTTATCTAGAGAATATCAATAAGAACACTTTAAGTACTACTGGATTTCCTAGTTCTCAATTACTCGACCACCGTAGTTGGATTGTATTTTATTCGAGAAACAAGAGTCTGGTTCACGATTTTTTGCCACTTGCTAAAGCCGACTCGAACCCTTCTTAACCTTGGAAAAGCTTGCAGAAGAAGTGTTGGGAGTGTTTCAAATCTTGGAACTATTTCAGATTTGCATTGGAAGGTTACTACACAGTCGCCAGTTAATAAACAGATGACGAAATAACAAATTGCAACAATATGTGTTGCTATATTAGTAAATATAACAAACCACTGAGTAATAAACAAAGCGTCTAACAATAATTTACATGTAAATCGGTCTTGTTGCCAAGATAATCTTTTCTTTTGATAGTTTGTTTATGGTTTTCTAAATATTTCACCTCAAAATACATGTTTCAAATGTTTGATAAAACAATGTTTGGATTAAGGAAAGAAAAATAATAAAAACATACAACAAAATACAAAAAACTTTCGGAACTATAAACACCCCACATCCTAAATCCTTATATCAAAAAAACCACACGAAAACATAGGATGCAAACAAATCTTCTAAATAAGTAAGAAGATTGAAAAATCTAATAAGTATTACATAAATATAAGTGAGCGACACAATTTTCAACTTGATTTGACATTTAACACTTTTTGGTTTTTGAGTACAGTTTTTTTAAATGGAAACATGGAAACACCTCATTTTTTTAACCAATTCGATAGATCTTTTAATCGTCGAAATGATCAAAATATTAAATACCTAAAAGTTTTCGAAAAAGATCATTCAAAAAGTAAAATAACATTAACAAAAAACAAAGACGGGTAATTTTAAATCAAGTTGGGAATTTTGTATTTTTTAAAAAGAAAATTGACCTGTTCGAGCATTTTTGTCAAAACAAAATATTCTCAGTTTTAATGAATAAGATTATTCCATAATTTTGCCGCTTACTGTATAAATCAAAATTAAAATCAAAAATAGAAACAGTCTTTGCCAAAACAAGCCTGACGATTTGAATTTGTCAAATATGTTGTAGAAAATATAAAAGAGATACAAACAAAAAGTTTTGAGACGACTACTAAACCAATTAATTGTCAATTTAAGATAAAGACAAGTTATAAGTTTTCTATTCTGAAGGCATTACTAAGAATGTTTAGTAAAAAAATTAAACTAAAATTTTCTTGGATCGCTTAAAATAATAAATTATTTAAAGATTACATTTTCATACACAGTTGAAAAAATCAAGTTGCGTGTACCGTAGAAAATTGTACAATTGGATTACCAAGAAAAAATTCAGCTTCCTTCAAGTGTGTTAATGTTGTACTTGTTAGTACCACAGAAACACTCTTCATTTCCTTATACTGATATATCCCGCTGTAACTTAATTTCATATATTATATGTATAACAATTCAAAAGCTAGATCTTCACGGTGGTAGTTACATAATAATAATTATTCATTATGTTGTTATACGTGTGATATGTTATTAAGTTGTCACGTTACATCCTTAGATTTACAATTTTTCAAAGACTTGTACCCAGTCGTTAACTAATTTTTCCCAAGTTTACACGACTTGAAATTTGTTCATGATGATTAATTATTAATTAAACGTATTAAATAAATAGAGTCGTTGGCTTGTCTTGCAAAACAGCAATCAAGTTACAACAGTGTAACCAATTTGCATGAATTACACCTTTTGATCCAAAGTAAAGCATGGCGAATGTCTCGATTAAAACTTTTCAAAGCTAAAAAGCTCGTCCATAAATCGCTTTCAAGGCCAATTGCGTTTTTATTGGAACAAAAGCAATAAATCGCAGTACCAGAAAGCGAAAGCTCCGAACATCGAAGATATATTCTGTCTGCAAACAAAAGCTTCGCTATTTAAATGCCAATGAATGATTCATGTGCACGAAGACATTGCTATGTCCACTGCAAGATCGCAAACGCAGATTCTGTACAAAAACAAGATTGCGAGTGGGTACCTACTTTGTGGGCGCACCACCACCAAGGATAACGAGCGATTGATTAATTTCACGGGCGAAGAACCGTTGCTGCACCACGGGGCAACACGAATGCTCTTGAACTTGCCCATCTTGACGATAACAAAGACTCTTTTATTTGCCATAACGGAAATTAATTGGAGGAAAGCTCTGTTTGCAAGTGGCAAAAATTTCGGCACGTTTTGTGCATTAGCAAACATCGGCCATAAATCTGCACCTAAGCTCATTACTTATCTCATTAACCATCTCGTTTGTTTACATTACGGGGAATCCGAGCCAACAACACCAACCATATTCACGATTCGAGATCGTGAGCTATTCTCGCGATTTTTCTAATTTAATGGTTCGAGCCGACCTCTGAGGGCTCTTCTTTTGTTTTACTGTTTTTCAACCTCGTATCTTTTAACCTGTTTCAGATGACTGTCACAAGGAAGATGGATCCTCCTGCCAAAACGGGGCTTGTCTCGACGGACAATGTCACTGTAACGACGGATACGGAGGGTGCAACTGCGAGGTCCCAGGTGATTATTTTTTGATAAAATCTGATTTGAATCAGCCACGACAAGTAATTAAGTGTAATTTGCTCATACACAAGAATGACACTTCAGTGCTTTTTCACATTATTAGAGGTGCTTGAGCAAAGACAGTTAGAAGCGAGTGATCTAATCTCAAAAGGAGTTTTATGACTCTTGAGCATTGTCGTAAGATGCAAATTGTTTGCAATTTAGTTGTGGAAAATAAATAAGTCAATAAAATATAGTATAAATTTAAAAAAATTCTAACTTCGTTTCTAACCGATATAGTTAGAATCTTAATAGAGACTCGAGATTTGTCCAAAATTCTGAAAGAATGAGTGAAAAAAAGTAAAATAAATAAAAACAAAGTAAAAAAAAAATTATACAGGGGGTCCATTAGTGACCTTTAAACGGTAAAATTAAAAAAAAAATGTATAGGACATTGATAGACACTAATCTAGTGCATTACCTAAAATTATTTTCGACCATACAGCATGTCCCAAAAATAAGTTACAATACAAACTTGTATTTTTTTAAATGAAGCACCGTATGTTTTTTGGCATTTTTGGATGTAGCCTTTTAAAACAATGTTTTCATGCTAAACTTTTATTAGTCGATTTTACTTAGTTTTAGAAATAAGACGTTTTTTTTGACGAAAACATGCACTTTTTAAAAAATTTATTACACAAAAACTAAGACAGCTAGAACAAATTTTTTCTTCTGCAAAAAATTTAAAGCTGTAGCAATTTTTTAGTGTTTTGTATTTGTAAAGATTAATAAATTAGTTTGTTTGTTTGTTAAAAGTTAATAACTTAAAAATGTTATTGGACTAACAAACGCCTTCATTTTTGTATCTTTGCAAATGCAACACACTAAAAAAATGTTACATACAACCTTATAGCTTGTACCTTCTTCTTTGCGGTAGTAAAAAAAATGTTTCTAGATGTCTTAGTTTTTGTGTAATGCATGTTTTCGTCCAAAAACCGTCTTATTGTTAAAGCTAAGTAAAATCGACCAATAAAAGTAAAATTAAAACATTGTCATAATCATACAAATCTACATCCAAACACGCGAAGAAACATATGGTGTTTCATTTAAAAAAAAAAACACAAGTTTGTATTGTAACTTATTTTTGAGACACGCTGTAATTTTGAAAATAATTTTAGACGATAGACTAGATTAGTATCTATCAATGTCCTATACAATTTTTTTAAAATTTTATTTAAAAGCCACTAATCGACTTTTTCAACTCGCTGGGACACCTGTATATAAAGCCTAGGTCTTTGGGAATTGAATAAAATAAGTGTCTTTGTTAACTCTAGACGAAAGCTTAACTTTGATCAACCTTGGTATCGCTTACTGAAGTTTTAGCAACCTCTTTTTCCAATACCTCCTGTCTTCACACCGCAGAATAGCTCGCAGCGTAAATAAGGGAGCAATAAATCAAGACCTAACAAGCCCAAGTTTGTTTAACTCTTCATATCGCCTTCCAAGGCTAAAGTTAATTTGCAGCGACAATAGCTCTTGCTTTTTTCCAGACGAAAACGAGTGCAAATACCGACCTTGTGACGTCTTCGCCCATTGCACAAACACGTTGGGTAGTTTTTCGTGCACTTGCTACCCCGGATACCAAGGCGATGGTTTTCACTGTGAGGGTAAGTATCCATTACCACTGGCATAAATCATCAGTTCTCCCATCGGCGGTCCGTTTTACTGTTACATCGTGAAATGAAAACCAGCTAGAGTGAATTTTATGAAGGCACATAACATGCCATATAATCTTCAATATCGCAGTCACGACCTTCCTCACGGCCGCTTGCGTAGTTAGCGCCCAGGAATGCTTCGCTTTCCTTTCGGATTCTTACCCCGGGAATGGATATCTTGAATCTTGACGGTGGCATTCTTGACATTGGTCGGCCTTTTAGACTCGCCTCTTCGACGTATTCAAATGATCCGAGGATCGATTGGCGCGAGGAACATCCGTTGGTCGTTGAACTTTGCCAAAACCCGCCATTTGAAGACATAAATCATGCGAGTAACGGTTTTGCTATTTCGGCACTAGAGAAGATTTTTCTTACAGGCTTGCAGATTCTCGATTATCGGCCTTGATCATGGGACTAGTAATGCGAGTTTAATTGTAAATAAGGCCAAAGTTATTATGGAAATTGTTTTATTGTAGTACTCGGGTAATTTGCATCGATTAGTGACAGCATTGTTAAATAAGTGTTTAATGATTATGCATTGGAGGCGTTCCTCCAGTAGCTCGCATGTTCATCGTCAAAATCTCTTTAGACGAATTTAAGATGTGCGAACTGGACTTAATGATCCGGTCAGAGTCGGAATGCGGTAGTACTTTTTTCCCCACAGTTTTGTTAGTACCTACGCATTTCCAGTAGGTAGTTATAGCATGCTCAGAAGCCACAAATTATAGCCCTGCTTGTGGTCCTTTTTTCTGCGGAAATTGTTTTATTCTAGCAGCGAGAACCGCCATCATAAACCATTTTATTGACTTTAACGGGAGTAAATAAACGATTTTTGCAACGTTATTAATGAGTAAAGGTACTTAATGAAAATAATGCAAGTTACGGTATTAACAGTTAAGTCGTTTGATTGTATCATTAAAATAATGTGCGCATTGTACTAACTGTACTACGAATTTCTCGTATCGGAGAGTCATTTATCAAAATTTGGCCAAGGTTTACCATTAGCGGCGCTTAATTACACGTTAATTAAACTTTGCTCTTGCAAAGCGAAACACTGTTATCATCTGGAACGAGTCTCGTTTTATGGTTTTCCTTTCAGGCGCCATCATCAGTGTTTTCTGCCTCTCTAATGAAAAATATCGCGTCAACTACTGCCGCAAACTTAGTTCGTTGATCTCGAGCGGACGTTGCTCTTGACGTGGAGCACTATGAGATGACCAATCGCGCCAACTCAATTCACTTTTGCCCACCAAAATCTTTAATTGGGTTCGAATCCATAAAGGACGCGTAGAGAGCCCCCACCCACCATTTTATAAAATCTAACCAAACGTGTTACGTTTTTCGAAAATTTTCTCAATCGGAGAATCGATGTCGATTGCTTTTTGGATATCTATTTCTAATTGGAAACGGTTGCCAAAATTGGTCACTAATGATTGGCAGATCGTTTACAATTATCGCAAGTAATTGAAAGCTGCGAGCGATTGCGATCATGTGGATTTAAATTGCATTGTGTAACTGGTTCACCGTTAGCATCTCCATTAACGGCCAAGAATTTATTTTCATGCTTCACACACAAGCGTAATTATTGTCATTTCACAACCTGCCAGAGCATTAAAAGGGATGTAATAAACCCGCGTTTGCCTCCTTTTATCTCATCTCCGGTACAAAAATCCTGTATTTCAGACATTAACGAATGCGACGATCCCGCAATCGCCTCCAGGTGCGTGGAAAATGCCTGGTGTTGTAATCTCCCAGCCCATTTCCTCTGCAAATGTAACCCGGGTTTCGAAGGAGACGGCGAAGTTCAATGTCTCGGTAAGTCAAAACAATGCTACTCATTAAAAAAAAAACTACAACGATGGGCTTGTTCATTGGACATTTTAGACATCGACGAATGCTCTCATCCTGATGCTTGTGGTCAAAACGCGATCTGCCACAACACTCCCGGAAATTACACCTGCTCATGTCCTGAAGGATTCATTGGGAATCCCTTTGATGGGTGTGTCGATCAGAACGAATGCGAAAATCCTAATGCGTGTGGTCCTGGAGCCATTTGCACCAACGTGGAGGGAGGGAGACAATGTCATTGTCCTCCAGGATTCGAAGGAGACCCATACACAAGCGGATGCAACGACATGGATGAGTGTTCAAGGTCGAATCCTTGCGGAAGAGACGCCATTTGCTCGAATTTGGAAGGGAGTTTCCGATGTGCGTGTCCTCCAGGCTTCATCGGAGACCCTATGACTGCTTGCACAGGTATTTGCTATAATCTGGTTACAGTTGTACATAGCTGTACATACGGTGAAGAAACAAACACGTGAAGACTGATTTTCTTGTACAAAAATGTATTAACCAGGACTTTTACCCCAGTAGAGAAAATCAGTTGAAATAACCAAGTAAAAGTCCACTAACTAAAGTTACTAAGAAAATCGCTCTTCAATGCTAATGAGTTAACGATCTAACGCTTTAACATCGCTAGATATTAACGAATGCAGTTCGAGCCCTTGCGCACCGACTGCGCAATGCATCAACACTAACGGGAGTTACACCTGTTTGTGTCCCGAAGGGTACACAGGTTCGGCGAAGGAAGATTGTGTGGATATCAATGAATGTGGAAGGTCTGGAGCTTGTGGGATAAACGCTAAATGCATTAACGTCCCGGGGTCATACAAGTGCATATGCCCTCAAGGGTTCACAGGGCAGGGACAGCTGTTTTGTGAAAGTTAGTCAAGTTTATAGCTTTTGCCTTCGCTACTCTCTAACCACTTCGAATGTCGTAGTTTTAAGTCGTACCTAGACCTCGTACTCGTACTTTAGTACTGATTTTTATTATTTATTATTTCCCGTAACACTAGCGTATTTTATTTTCGAAGCCTAACTGTACTGTATACAATGTTTTTGTACACTTTGTTGATTAATCCCAGTTTCAATTTCAGCTGAACCTTTTGTATATTTGTGTTCGTCTTGTCTTTACCTGTCTGTTTCTTTCAGTCTATCTTCTATAGGTTTTCTTCTAAACTTGTTAAGAATATGTCGAAATGTTTTAAACTTATCCTCAGATATAAACGAATGCGATACAAATCCGTGTGGAGAAAACGCAGTCTGTAAAGACACACTAGGAAGTTACACTTGCACATGCAAGGAAGATTACACCGGCGATCCTTTCAAAGGATGCGTCGATATCGACGAATGTCAAGCACTTGAAAGACCATGTGGGGCACACGCGATTTGCGAAAATGCCGTTCCGGGATATAACTGTATTTGCCCCCAAGGCTACCAAGGCAAACCATCGCCCAAAATCGCCTGCGAACAAGTAAAATCCTGAAAATTTCCTCAAAATCCGTTTTCTAAATTCTAAACTTACAGATCGATGTTAACATTTTATGCAAATCAAACTTCGACTGCACGAATAACGCCGAATGTATCGAAAACCAATGCTTTTGCCAAAAAGGTTTTGTTCCCAAAGGCTCAGTGTGTGTAGACATAGACGAGTGTGAAGCACAGCCTTGTGGACAGTACTCTGTCTGTACCAATACAATCGGTAGTTTCCACTGTGACTGTGAAAATGGGTTTGTTGGGGCCCCACCTATGGTACAATGCAAGGCCCCTTGTGAGGACGTCAAATGTGGCGACCACGCCTATTGCAAACCTGACGGCCAAGAAGCCTATTGCATATGTGAGGATGGATGGACTTTCAATCCTCACGACATTGCAGCTGGCTGTATAGGTACTTAATTACGTCGAATGATTATTTTCTTTAATAATTTTCAATAATTTTCTTAGATATTAATGAGTGTGACGAAATCAATGGTCCTAGTGGCCGTTGTGGCAAAAATGCCCTTTGTACAAACTTACCGGGAACATTCGCCTGTCAATGTCCTCAAGGCTTCACCGGCAATCCTTCGGTCCAATGTCAAGACTTTGACGAATGTTCTAAACCCAATTCATGCGGAGTTGGGGCGGTTTGTGAAAACACTCCAGGGTCATACACATGTAAATGTCCCGAAGGCACTGTTCCGAGTCCCGACCCTCGAACCAAATGCAACGAAATTGTGACTTGTAATTCGGACTCGGATTGTCCCGGAAATGCCATTTGTGACCACAAGAAACGGTGTTTGTGCCCTGAACCAAACGTGGGCAATGAATGTAGACGTAAGTAATCCAAAATTTACCAATTTTGTGCAATTTTCACAAAAAATGTGTTGTAGATCCTTGTGAAACCACCGTTTGCGGACCAAACGAGCAATGCATGCTTGTTAATCAAGAAGCCAAATGCATTTGTCGTGCTGGTTTCACCGGTACCAGCCTAGGTTGCGTCGATATAGATGAATGTGCCGGTAATCCGTGCCAACTGGGTGCTATTTGCAAGAACGAACCTGGGAGCTTCTCCTGTCAATGTCCTGGGGGTACCACCGGAGACCCCTACAGGACCGGATGTGCCAAAAACGAGATACCATTCAGTTGTTCCGACTCCAAACCTTGTCCTCCAGGTGAACAATGTATCACTGACGATTTCGTCGGCGGTAGTGTCTGTATTTGCGTCCAAGGCTATTTAAGAGACCACAATACCGGAAAATGTCGCGATGTTGATGAATGTACCGAATTCCGGGATAAGCCAGCATGTGGGATTAACGCAATTTGCAAAAATCTTCCCGGAAGTTATGACTGTCAGTGCCCTCCCGGGTTCAACGGAAACCCATTTTTAGAATGTTTGGAATGCAATAGTCCAGACTGTCGCTGCCAACCGCCTTACAAACTCACAGACGGTAACTGTGTTTTGGCTAGTTGTGAACCAGATGGTTCTTGTCCTAATGGAGCTGAATGTATCACAATCACCGGGGGTGTGAGCTACTGTGCGTGTCCCAAAGGGTTTAAAACGGCCCAAGACGGGTCCTGTATTGACATCAATGAGTGTGTGGAAGGCAAACAAGTATGTGGGTACGGTGCCGAGTGTGTTAACTCGGTTGGATCATACGAATGTCATTGTCCGAGAGGATACAGTGGAGAACCCTACAACGGTTTGTGTTCTCCAGCCCAAAAACGGTGCATCCACGATAACGAATGCTCAGCTAATGAGAAATGCGTCCAACCAGGCGAATGTGTATGCCCGCCTCCGTTTTTCACCGACCCGCAAGATAACAACAAGTGTAAAAGTCCATGTGAGCGATTTTTGTGTGGAATTAACGCGAAATGTACGCCGAGTGACCCTCCTAAATGTCTTTGCGAATCAGGGTACAAGGGAGATCCCTTACAAGGATGCGTGGATATAGACGAGTGTGCGGATGCTCCCTGTGCTTACGCAGCGCAATGTATCAACCAGAAAGGAAGTTACAAATGTATATGTCCCAGAGGAATGACCGGTGACCCTTACAAAGGTGGATGTATTCTTGAAATCGGGACCGGAAAAGCCCAATGCCAGACAAATGATCACTGTGCACATACTTTGGCTTGTGTCGAGAGAACTTGCATTAGCCCATGTGGAGCTTTGACTTGTGGTCCTAATGCCTACTGCGAACCTGAAAATCATGCGGCTTGGTGTAGGTGCCGGGTCGGGTATGCTGAGAATTCACATGGAGAGTGTGTTTCGAGTAAGTGTTTCATTCAATTTTAAATTATTCAAATATAATTTGTTTATTTAGTTTGCGAAGGTGTTATTTGTGCTGCCGGCGCCCAATGTATCCCAACTAATTCAGGCCCAACTTGCAAATGTTTGGAAGGTTTCATGGGTAACCCATTCCCGGGAGGCAAGTGTACTACTGATCTTTGCTCGTCTTCAAATCCTTGCGAGGAGCCCTACATTTGTATCGGTGGTCGATGTAAAGAGAGATGTGAAGGCATCATTTGCGGCGTTGGGGCTCACTGTGACCGAGACACCAACCAATGTGTTTGTGATTCATTCTTTATTGGTACTCCGGAATTAATTTGTATGCCTCGTAAGTATCAATTACTGTGAATGACTTTTTGAGACTCATACAAAATTTTTAGCTATACTTGGACCTGTGTGTGTCCCAACTTGTGGCCAAAACGCCCACTGCGAGTATGGAACGAATTCCAATAAGTGTGTCTGCAATTCCGGTACCAGTGGCAATCCCTATGAGCAATGCTCGCAACTCGAGCGCAAAACTTGCGATGCGAGTACCTGTGGCTCAAACGCTGAATGTAGGGAGAGTTACAATGATATCCAGTGTTTGTGTCAGTCAGGCTTCACCGGAAATCCTTTTATCGGCTGTCACGACATCGACGAGTGTAGCGGTGACGTCTGTGGCCAAAGTGCCGTCTGCATCAACACTATTGGCAGTTACGATTGTCGTTGCAAGGAAGGCTACGCTGGCAATCCTTTTATTATGTGTTCCCAAGTCCAGGGTGGTGTTTGCAAAGACGTCAAAACCTGCAATTGTAACGATCGCGTCTTTTGTCCCTCTGGTTTCACCTGTGAGAGAGGTCGATGCAAAAACCTGTGCGAAAAGGTCAAATGTGGGCCTCGAGCCAACTGTCATGACGGCCAATGTGTATGTCCTCCCGGCCACATCGGAAATCCCACCGATTTGCGTAAAGGTTGCACGACTGAAGGACGTTGCAACAGCGACCTTGATTGTCACGACGGACAAATTTGTTTCCAATTGGGCAAAGGTCTAAGAAAGTGTTTGGACGCTTGTAGCAAAATCCAGTGTGGTCCTAACGCACTGTGCGTTTCCGAGAATCACAGATCGTCTTGTATTTGCGCTTCGGGTTACAACGGTAACCCGAGTGATCTCAATTTAGGGTGCCAACCGGAAGAACGGGTCAACCAAAGAGAATGTGAGCATGACAGAGACTGCAAACCTGGAACAATCTGCTCGGTTGATGTTTCTGGAATTCAGAAATGTATCAGTCCTTGTGAAACAGTCGCATGTGGACTTAACGAAATCTGTAAGATTGATTCAGCCGGTCATCCAACGTGTACATGCCGCGATGATTTCATCTGGAATCCAGTTTCCTCTCTGTGTGAAAAACCATCAGTACCAGATTGCACGTCGGATCAGGATTGCCAACCTGTGGCCGCATGCCAACCTGACGCTTTAGGAATTCTAAAATGCGTCCCTGTTTGTTCCCACTTCACTTGCCCTATTAATGCGGCTTGTGTTGCTGAATCACACAGGGGACAATGTCAATGCCTTTCGGGCTACACCGGGAACCCCAAAGACCGCAATGGCTGTAAACCAATCAGTCAGAATCAATGTACGACTGACGCTCAATGCTCCGAACATGAAACTTGCAAAAAACACGGAGAATTTGGAGTACTTGTGTGTAAACCAGCCTGTGATTATGTTTCCTGTGGCCCTAACGCCGTTTGTGTCACTAATAATCACGTAGCGCAGTGCCAGTGTCCCCCGGGGTCATTTGTAGGTGACCCTACTGACCCTACAGCCGGTTGCAAATCCGTCCCTTGTGTCTATAACATTGACTGTCCTCCAACTCAACTGTGCAACCGCTTGACTCACACTTGTTATGATGTTTGCGACGAGGAATCTTGCGGAACAAACGCAGTGTGCATTGCAGAGAACCACAAAGCGGTCTGTCAGTGTCCTCCAGGTTACAGTCCGAATCCTCTCGCCGAAGTCGAATGCGTACCTGTTGAAGTATGTAACCCTAATCCTTGCCACACTTCGGCCATATGTGAAGCCACGAATTTCGGTCACACGTGCAAATGCCCTCCAAATACAATCGGAGATCCCTTTACTGCAGGTTGTAGACCGGAAGGGGGCTGTCCTAATGGTGACCGCGATTGTCCATCACGAGCTGTGTGCCAAGCTGGGAAATGTATCAATCCATGTGACCAATACCAATGTGGCCCTAATGCAATCTGCACTGTTGAAAAGAGAAAACCAGTTTGCAATTGCCCGGCAAAATTCATACCAGGCCCTCATGGCATACAAGACGGGTGTGTCAGAATTGCCACACAATGTGCCACTGATATAGACTGTGGAAATGAAGTCTGTTTTAATGGGCAATGTCGGGCAGTTTGCCGTAATAACGACGATTGTTCTTTCGGCGAACGCTGCTTGGAGAAAATATGTATGATTCCGTGTGCTAGTCACAGCCAGTGCCGACAAGACCAAGCATGCATCAATGGAATGTGTATAATAGGGTGCCGAAGCAACAAAAACTGTCCCTCAGACCAAGCGTGTGTCAACAACAAGTGTCAAAATCCATGCAGTCTAGAAGGCTCGTGTGGCCCCAATGCAATTTGCTCGTGCCAAAACCATAAAACTATTTGTACGTGTCCTGAGAACTTTGAAGGCAATCCGACCCCTAACGAGGGCTGCATCCGCATCCCATTGACATGTCAGACTAACAATAACTGTCCCAATGGTCACACTTGTGTTAAAAACCAATGCTCATTCCAATGTCACGATAACATCAAGTGCGCCACCGGCGAGAGATGCTCCAACAATGTTTGCACCAAAGTCTGCTATGGTGACAATAATTGTTTACCAGGGGAAGTCTGCTTGAGAGGGTTATGCGAACCTGGATGCGCCGTCGACTCTGATTGTCGCAGTTCCCAAATCTGCATCAAAGGTCAATGCAAATGTGGGCTTGGATTTATTGGAACACCTCAAGGTTGTGAGGACATCAACGAATGTGAGGATCATCCATGCCACCCTACCGCTCACTGTCAAAATCACAAAGGGTCATATCGGTGCGTTTGTCCCGAAGGAACCGTCGGTGACCCTTTCATCGAACCGGGATGTCTATTGCCCAACCAATGCAGACGCAATAGTGAGTGTGCCGATAATCTTGTTTGCAAAACTGGAAAATGTCAAGATCCGTGCGAAGAAATCCGCTGTGGTCCCAACGCTGTTTGCAACGTTTTCAATCATAAATTGACCTGCTCATGCCCTACAAACCATCTGGGCGACCCATTCGACCTAAAATTGGGTTGTTTCAAAGTTGAGTGTTTGGAGGATGTGGATTGTGCGACTGATAGACGATGCGAGACTGAGATAAACAAGTGTTTGAGTAAGTTTAATGTTTGCTAGAATTTTTGGATTTCACATTTGATTTTTGTTTAGATCCGTGTGATTCAATCAGTTGTGGCAAAGGCACGTGTATTACTCAAGAGCATCAAGCTTATTGCAGCTGTTTCGAAGGCTATACTCTAATAAATGATAAATGTGTTGATGTTGATGAATGTCGGACTTCTAATCCGTGCCACAAGTCGGCAACGTAAGTATCAATTTTTTTCAATTAATTATAAATAAATTACACTAATTTATTTCTAGTTGTGTGAACAATGACGGCGGCTTTACGTGCGTCTGTGGTGAAGGATTAGTCGGCGATCCTGTCGTTGGGGGCTGCCGCAAACCCGGTGATTGCTTTACCGACACCGATTGCCCCTCATCTGCAACGTGTGTCGATAACTTCTGCCGAAATCCGTGTGAAAACCCCAACGCCTGTGGTAGAAACGCTGAATGTATCCCAATAAATCACGAAGCTACGTGTAAATGCGCCCCCAAGACACGTGAAGATGCTCAACACAACTGTATCCCAATCGAATGCGAAACTAACAATGATTGTTCCCAAGACAAGGCTTGTATCGACTCCAAATGCACCAATCCGTGTTCTCTGGTCAATGCGTGTGGCCAAAAGGCCGAATGCCGGCCTAGTAACCACGTAGGGGTTTGCTCATGCCAAGCTGGCACCACCGGAGACCCACACTTGGGTTGTGTATCAGTTCAGTACTGTGCTGTTGACACGCAATGTCCAGCAGGGTCTCAATGTTACAACGGTATCTGTACTTCGATTTGTACCTCGTCTAGGGAGTGTATTTCCGACCAGTTGTGTATACAAGGGATTTGCCAACCAACTTGCAAATCAAACTCGTCATGTCCCGATTTTCAATTTTGCCAAAACAATATTTGTACGCAAGAATTCAAATGCCGGTCTAATGACGACTGTTCCTTCACCGAGAAATGTTTGGCTAATACAGTGGGTCAAAATGAATGTATCGACGTTTGTGAGGGAGTTCTATGTGGTCGCAACGCCGAATGTGTTTCGCAAAACCACGAAGCCACTTGCATTTGCAAAATCGGGTACAAGGGAAATCCAAATGATGACAAACTGGGGTGCCAACGAGTCGAGTGCGAATCCAACGACCAATGTTCAAACGACAAACTTTGTGACCAGTACATGTGCAAAATCGCGTGTTTAGTTCACAATCCATGTGGACGCAACGCTCTATGTTCGGCCGAACATCACAGACAAGTCTGCTATTGCCAGCCTGGGTATACAGGAGACCCACATGCCGGATGTCGATTGATTGATTTCTGTGCTGATAATCCGTGTGGTCCCAAGGCCCGTTGTCACAACTCGCGAGGTTCTTTCAAATGTCAATGTCCACAAGGATTGGTCGGAGACCCATACAATGAAGGGTGTAGACCTCCAGTTGAGTGCAACTCCGATAAGGACTGTCCAAGTGTCGCTAAATGTGATAAGTCTAATGGCTTACATAAATGTCGCGATGTTTGCGAGAGGACGGCTTGTGGCCCCAACGCTGAGTGTATTGCTGTTGACCATAAAGGTCACTGCAGTTGTCGGAATGGCTACCAAGGGAATCCCAGCGACTTGTCGCTAGGTTGCACACCCAAACCTGTCTCTTGTCGTCACACTTCAGATTGTCCAGCAAATACCTATTGTTACGGTGATGTCTGCAGACGTAAGTCTTAAAGTTACACTAGTAGTTCCTACGTTCAAAAAATTGTTTCAGCTCCGTGTCAAACAAGCGAGGAATGTATACCCAGTGAGCAATGTCTCCAAGGTCAATGTCTCAACCCTTGTGACTTACGTTCAGCCTGTGGTATGAACGCGGAATGCAGAGTTATCAACCACGTGAAACAATGCAGTTGCCCTCCAGGCTTTACCGGAAACCAAGACGTTGAATGCTTTAGACGTGAGTATTTTTCAACTTGTAGTAACCGCGGTATTAACACACCCATTTAGTGCCAATTTCCTGTTCATCAAATCACAACTGTGCCCCCGGCTACGTCTGTAAAGAGAATTTATGCCATCCTGAATGCAAAGTAGATAACGATTGCGCTTTCAACGAGAAATGTCTCAAAGGCAATTGTATTTTAACGTGCCGAGTAGACAATGACTGTTTCTTGGGTCACATTTGTCATCACAATATGTGCATTTTCGGATGCCATAACGACGATGATTGTACCGGAACTGAGTCCTGTCGAAACAACAAATGTGTTAACCCCTGTTTGGAAAATCCTTGCGGCGCCAACGCCCAATGCACCGTTTCGAATCACAGAGCGACGTGTTCCTGTGGTAACAACTTCGTCCCTAATCCCACTCCAAAAATTGGGTGTGTGCGTGCACCTGCACAGCCCTGTACCCAAAACAGGGATTGTGATCCCGGGAATGTCTGTATCGAGCAGTCTTGTCGCACCTTGTGCTCGTCTGACTCCGGATGCTTTAATAACGAAAGATGTGATGTCAGTAGCGGCGTTTGCAAACCGATTTGTCGCCGAGATGATGATTGCAAAAACGGAGAAATTTGCGAAGGGTTGACTTGCTCGATTGGATGCAGGAGTGACTCGGGATGCGCCCCTGAGAAGAAATGTGTTGGCAATCAATGTGTAGATGTTTGTGCCTCTCCGACGGCTTGTGGCACTAATGCCGAGTGTGCTGTCATCAATCATAATAAGTTGTGTGCTTGCCCACCTCCTCTTGTGGGTAATCCTTTGGAGTATTGCCGATATCCGGTCCAACCGTGTAATGCGGACTCGGAATGTGTCAAAGGGCATGTTTGCTACGAGGCGGTGTGTCAACAAATGTGCAGAACGTAAGTGTGCTAAACTTTCGCAATTTCCAAAAAATTAATTTGTTTTCTAGTGACCATAATTGCCTATCGGATGAAAAGTGTGTCAGGGGTGTTTGTCGCACTGTTTGCAACTCTGACGACTTCTGTAGCATTAATCAGGTTTGCAAAAATCGACTGTGTGAAATTGGGTGTCGGAGCGACTCGTCTTGTCCCCAAAATCAAGCTTGTATCAATAATAAATGTCAAAGTAAGTTATCTTTTTCACAAAAATTATCGAAACTACGAAATATAATAATTTCCAGATCCTTGTGACTATAATACGACTTGTGGCAATTGTGCCGATTGTAAAGTCAAAAACCATGTAGCTCAATGCAGCTGCCCTTCAAACTTTTTAGGCAATCCTTTAGTCGCTTGCACTAAAGCTGTAACTGAATGTGATGGAATTTGCGAGTGTGACGAAATAGGTTACTGTACCAAATCATGCCGAACGTCAAAAGAGTGTTCTTGTGGTGAAATCTGCTCATCTGGTAAATGTCGAAATAAATGCTCCACGCAAATGCCTTGTGCTCGTGGCCAGATATGTACAAGAGGCGCTTGCTTACCTGGCTGTCGCTCTAATAACGACTGCTCCACTTCTGAAGTTTGCAGAAACAAGAAATGTCAAAATGTATGCAAAGATGCTAACAGTTGTGGTAAAAATGCAATTTGTCAAGCTACCGATCGTAGAAAAGTGTGTTTGTGTCCTGATGGTTATCAGGGGGATCCCAAAATCGAGTGTAAACCTTACGAATGCAGACTGGATACGGATTGTGAGAGTGATAAGAGATGTAGTCCTGATGGAGCTTGCAGAAATCCATGTCGCGAGAATAAAGCGTGTGGTATTAATGCCCAATGCCGGGTAATTGATCGAAAACCGCACTGTTCGTGCCCCCCTGGTCTCTTTGGAAATGCTCTAGTTGAATGTAAAAAGGGCGGAAATGAGGAATGTTTGAAAAATCCTTGTGGGGCTAATACCAAGTGTAAGGATACAAACGGACGTTATGAGTGCAGTTGTTTGCCGGGTTGTGTCGGTGACCCTAATAGAGGATGCGTCTGCGAACCCGAATTGGTTAATTTGTGTAAAAAGAAATTATGTGGTATTGGAGCTCAGTGTAGGATTGTTCACGGAAAAGAGACTCAGTGTTTTTGTCCCGCTGAGCTGCCGAAAGGTGATCCGACTATTGAATGTAAGTTATGTAGTTTCTGTTTTGAGTGTCCTAATGGGACTTGTAGGTACTGTGGAAGAAAGAAACGTTGTCGATTGTAGAACGGAAGGTTGTGGTAAGAACGCGGAATGTATACGCGAACAGGCGTTCTTCGTCTGTCGCTGTCTGCCGGGACATACAGGTCGACCCGAAGTAGAGTGCAGCAGGGGTAAGCAGAGTTTAACACTAACACTACAAGAGTCACATACATTGTATACAGTACATAGGCTTCCCGCTCGACTAATGCGATTATGCATTAGAATTTGTACCTCATTAATAATGTTATTCACACTGTGTACAAAAAGTTTGCACGTTAATTCACAGTAACACAAGTATTGAAGCGTAGCCAGTGATATGTGTTGTTGTTGGAGTATATGGTCTAGGTTGCGATGATCGGAGCGGAGTATTTGTAAATAGTTGTCGCGTTACACATGTGGAATGTACACTTCAGGGTTCCAATCTGCCTTTCACACGATCCCGACACGCCCTTTCACCCAGCCACATTCCACACACAGAACTCAGAATTAGTTAGATGGCGCGGTGCAACCAGCAGCGGGTCCGATGGCTGATAAGTCAGATTGGGAACTATGAAAGGAGCATTCTCACAGTGAATTGTACATTAGCATTGGTCTCTAGCATCACCTAGCGCTTGTAAATACTGCCGCTTGTTCGGTGTCTCGTTGAGATGGCCTCTTTCATTTCTCTCACCCTCTGACTGTCTTAGTCACGCCCGCATGCGATGTTGTGTATTGTGCGATGTATACTTCCTTTCACGGTTCTTACGATTGCTTTCTTTTTTCTGCCCACCCCGACGTATCCGTAGATGCCGAATGTAACAGTGACTTAGAATGCTCCACCGAAAAGGCGTGCATCAACTACCAGTGCATAGACCCTTGCACGCTGCGTGGCGCTTGCGGACTGAACGCCCTCTGTCGTACGGTCTTGCATCGCCCCCGATGCTCCTGCCCGGAGTGTCACGTGGGCATGGCGAACACCGAATGCCGTCCCGACCCCAAATGTCTCTCGACGCAACCGCGTCCCGCCCCCTCTCACTGCCGCAAAGACTCGCACTGCCCCCTCGACCTCGCCTGTAACGCGGCCTCAGGCGAGTGCTTCGACCCTTGCACTAACCCCGCGTTCAAATGCACCGGCAATAAGAGATGCGAAGTCTCGCACCATAAAGCCACTTGCGTCTGCAAAAGCGGTTTCGTGGTTAACGAGCGTGGAGAGATCGCTTGTGCTCCGGAGATTAGTGAATGCGCGCGTGATGATCAATGTCCGTCCAACAAAGCGTGCATTGATAATGTATGTCAGAACCCTTGCACCGCTTCGAAAAAATCGCCTTGTCCGCCTGAAAAGGGTTGCGATGTGCTCAATCACAAACCCGTTTGCATTTGCTTGAAAAACTGCAATCCTTCCTTGTCGATTTGCTTGAGAGACAATGGGTGTCCGGCGCACCAAGCGTGCAGAGCATTTAGATGCGAAGATCCATGTGCGACCGCCAGCTGTCCCGAGAACACGCCCTGTTACGTCGAAGATCATAGACCTATTTGCAAGTTTTGTCCGCCCGGATTTATATCCGACCCAAAATATGGATGTCTCAAAGGTAAACTCTCACTCTCGGTGCAAACTCTTAGTGCTTGACGACAAACATCAATGAACGATGAGTTACGTTGCTTTCGGTTACAGTATGCAGTAATAGACCAACTTTCTTTGCTACGTCGTTATCTACTTACAAGTACAGATAAACTGCTGCAAAGACAAGCCGTTTACCACTTGTTTGTACTCCAGTTTTTTTCACGACTTTCCCCTTACACTTGCTATTCTCTTCAAAAAAGGACATCAGTGTATGCTGTATATTTTCACCTCCTACTACTTTCAACTAACGTTAACCGCTCTGCACTTGACTAACCCGACGATTGTAAATAAGAGTGTATCTATGTATGTATATAATGTATTCACAGCTGATAACGCGACAAAAGTTACCTGCACTACGGACTCCGATTGTACACAAGCACAAACCTGCATTGGAAACATATGTATAGATCCTTGCACCAAGAATTGTGGCAAAGGTGCCAACTGTCAGGCAATTAACCATAAAGCCAAATGTACTTGTCCGACTGGCTACGAGGGCAACGCGTTAATACAATGCTTCCCTGCCATCCCCAAAACTAACCTTATAACTGAACTCCAAACCTCAACTACTAAACCCTATAACCAAACCAGCACCACTCGAGAACGGGGTATCCACATAGAGACTGTCAAAACCACAACACCCATTACTGGTCATGAGACAATAGAAACACCAAGTACTACGACTGAGCGAATTTTAACTAGTACAGAAGAAAATACTATATTTGGAGAAATATCTAGTACTGTCCCAGTAACAATGACTACAGAAAAAATAGAATTTTCCACTAAAACTTACCTACTTACAGAAGCTCCAATTGAAACAGTTATAAGTACTACAGTAGCAGCCGAAACAGAAATAACACAAAGTTCTTCAATCAGTACCCTTGAAGTTACTGAAACTACAAAAGAAGTACCAACCGGAAAAACAGTTGAGGTTATAGAAACAACTGAAGTCACTGGCAGTATGCCTCAAACTAGAATCAGTGTTATGACTGAAGAAACAACAACCAAGATAGAAACTGAATTAACAACTGAATCTGTTGGTGTATCAAAGGCTAGTATAGAGCAAACAAAAGTAACTCCTCAAGAGATGTTTACAGATTCTAATTTAGTATTTATAACAGTGAAACCGTTTCCGAGTAGCCTCAGTACTTCTGAAACACCTTTAAATTTGATTACTACTTCTCCAAAGAAAATTGAAGTAACTTCTGAATTAGCAAAAACTACAAATGTGGGTGAACGAGAACATGCAACAACTTTTAAAAGCGTTGCTCCTGTTACATCAGTTACAGAAACAACAACAACAGAAATAGAAAGATTTCCTGTAACTGGTTTACCTGAAACAACAGTTAATGTTCTATTTACTGAAACTGAATTCAAAACAACACCAAAAACAGGCGCAACAGAATTTGTTACTACAAGTAGTACAACTGGTAAAGAATTAACTACTGAAACGACAAGAGAAATAACAGAAGGTAGCACCCTTAGTACAGAACGTGTTGAAGAAACAACAAGAGAAACAGAATTTACAAATGTTATTTCTAGTACTGGTTTTACTACTGAAGAAAGTATCGCTACTCAATTTACAAAAATATATACAACAACAAAATTGAAACCAGAATCTACAACTCAAAGAATTTTTACCCCTGTAACATTAGGTGAATCAAAATTAGTAACTACAACAGAAGTAGAAAGCTTAACACCTGTAACCACATTAGGTTTACCCGCAATAACAACAAAAACAACTGCTAGTGAAGCAACTACTCCATATTTTATCCACGTACCTAAAACAACAGTAAAAACGGCCATTTCAAAAACAGAAAATGTGACTACTCCAGAATCAGAGATTTCTAAGAAAACCGAAAGTTCCACAATTACTACACCTATTACAATATCGGAATTTATTTCCACTACTATTTCTGCAACTACTGAGTTACATTCTGAAAGAACAACTGCTTTTACACAAATGCCTGAAACATATCCTTCTAGAACCGAAACAGCTAAGGCTCTTTCAACTTCTAGAGAGCCGACCAGTACCACCAGTACCGAACTACCAATTGGAGAAATTACTACAATAGTGGTACCCCAACAAAACGAGTCTTTGTTTAACATAACAGTCTTGACTAATTACTGCACAACCCCTAGTAACTGTTCCTTTAACACCACATGTATAAAAAATGCTTGTATTAATCCGTGCCTTCATTACCGTCCCTGCGTAACCAACATAACATGCCAGGTGATTGCCCACGAGCCTGTATGCCTGTGCCCATTAAACCAAACGCTAAAGGAAAAAATTGGTTGTAAAATAAACCCAGGTAAACAAAAGTCAATATTATCGAATCTGCGTCTGCAAGTCATTTCTTGGAATTCCATGGATATAGCAAGCGCATAGTCACACAACCTCATATACAACACGAGGTTGTACAAGGTCTAAAATACGCAAACCTTGGACATCATTTGCATGACCATTAGATATCAGGATCACCATTCGAGTCTCAATCGAATCATTTTTTGTGTTTCATTGTGTATATATTTTGTTGTACATAAGTTTCGTAGTGTGCGAAGGTGTCGGGGCTTAGATTGGTGGTAGTTTCCTGTTTGTTAGAGTAGTTCTGTATACATGACGCTTATGTTTTCAGCTTTTTTGCTTGTTGTATGTTTTTAATCATGATTTTTGTTGTGCACTGGTAGAAAATTGGCACGAGTTTAATTGAAATGCTTTTCATAGACATCAAATGCTATCAGCATACGGACTGCACAGGGCAACATGCTTGTATCGATGGGAAATGTCGCAATCCATGTTTAGTTTCTAATCCTTGTATTGAATCACACGACTGCCAAGTTCAAGACCACCAACCCGTGTGTGTCAAAGGTACAAACATTTATATTTTGTACCAACAATATTTTAAAATGTGTTTACAGTTTGTCAATGCCAGAAAAATTCAGATTGTGGCGCTAGTAATCTAATTTGTGACGGATGCAAATGCATTATTGGTAAGTATTGTCTTAAGGCTTAAATAAGGATACAAACAAGAATTTCTTTCAGGCGAAGAACCGAAAGTTGTGCCTGGTTGCGAGCATTGCCCGCCTGGAATTGCTTGTGACCCCACAACCGGGGCTTGCATAAAAGGTAAGTCCAGCAAGTCTGGTTTTAGTTGTTTTAAGTTTACACCAAACGTGTTGCTGTTTTTTGTCAAACCATTCCCTTCCCTATTCCATCCCCCATAAACGCAAAAATTTAACAACGAAAAAGCCATTTGAACTGGACAGCTTTTCATCGCCGCAAGGGTAAAGTACATCGTAACAACAGTTATTGATGTTTAGAGCCATTTTATCATTGATTTTGTGTTGCAGCTTTATCATCTAACTGTATATTCTTCCTAACATGTACCTATTTGTAAATTTTGTAAAAATAGCAACACTTTATGTTCTGATCATTGTGGCATCACGCTCAGTGCTCTGTCAATTATGACTGACTCTTTTGTTTCAATATTTGTGAAAAATGTATGACTTCTTTCACAATTGTTTTGTGTATCTTATGTCTATTCTGTAGTGTATATGTTGTAAATAGTTTTCTACTTATTTCCACTTGGTTATGGCCAGCTTTCGCTTCCCATTGCACATGTTACTAACATCTCCATAATCACTTGTATTATATTTGAAGTTTAATAAAATTCACTTTTACTTACTTTGTTGTTTGTTTTTTTAATATAACAGATATGGTGGCTTCAACACCAGGTACACTAACTGAAACACAAACTGTGACTTTCTCACAAATAACAAAACAAACTACTAGTGCTACTACTATTCCTACTATTCTAACATCTAGTGGAACTACAGAATTAACAACACATATTCCTGAAACAACAAAAGAAATACCAGTGACACCTTATATTTCCGGACCGGCAGACACAACAATTAAAAGTGAATTGTACACTTCTCTTTCTATTGAAAATCAAACAACCACAACCACTGAAGCGGTTAAACCGGGAACGGTTTTTACAAGTAGACCACTTACCACAACAGAAAAAACAGAATTAGTTTTTCCCGTTACAACAACTACAGAAAAGTTTGTTACGGTTACACCGCAGTATCCAGAGGAAACAACTTCTGAAGTAACAAAAATTGTTAGTACTACTGGTAAATTGTTGTCCGAAGAGACAACTACATTAAAAAGTGTGACAGAAGAAGTACTACCAACGACGACAGAGACGACAGAATCTATTATAACTACAAGGTTAAAACCGGAATATACAACAGAAATAAGTGCTGAGGTATCAACACCTGTAACTGTGGTTGGTTTACATGAAACAACTCCTGAAAGTCTTGTAACTGAAGTTAAGAAAATAACTACTCTAGAAATAATTACCGTAGGAAGTACAACGATGCAAACGTTGTCTGAAGGAACAACATCAGAAGTAACTGAGAAAGGAACAACAAAAGTGGAATACGTACCAGAAACTACTACAATTGCTGAAGAAATTACTTCACCTATTACGGTACCAGAAAACATTACCACTACTGCTTCAACTACTAAAGAAACTACACCAACGCCAACTAAATTACAATCTCAATATACTACTGAAACAATTTCTGAAACATATGCATCAACTTCTAGTCCAGTTACTACAACAACAAAAATGCCGAAAACAACAGTGGAAGAAGGCTTAACACCTGCTACTACAGTTGTCTTAGGAGAAACAACAACTCCTGTTACTGAAACAAAAAATGAAAGAGTTACAGAAATACGTATGACAGAAATTGTTACTACGAGTAGTAAACCTTTTATAGAAAATATTACAGAATCCACTTCTAGTGTTACAACTCCTGAAATTATTTATAATACACCAGAAGGCTTAACAACACGACTGAAAATAGAATATACAACTGAAACAACTCCTGTTTCAGTTACGACATTAAGGTCTTTTACAGAAGGTACACCAACAACAAAAGTACAACAGACAACAGTGGAACAATTGACACCTGTTACTATAACTGGTTTACCCGAAGGAACAGCAAAGACATTTGTTACTGAAATAGAAAATGTAACTGCTACAGCAGCAGGTACAACTGAATTTGGTACTACGACCAGTTCATCTAGTAAGCCTTCCACATATAGAGCAACAGAAGGATTTAGTACTGAAAGTGCTACAACAAAGTACGTTCCAGAAGTGACATCAAAAATAACTACTTCAAATGTTACAAATCCTGAAATAATGTCTAGTACACCAGAAGGTGTGACAACCTTTAGACCTGTTACAACAATAATACCTGCAACTATTGTTCCATTACCAGAAACAACAGTAAAATCACTTATTACTGAATCAGAGAATGTAACCATAAAAGAAATAGGTACCACTGGTGAACCCTTCACAGAAGGAACAACATCAGAAATACTAGAAAAAGTTAGTACAGTCGGTAAAAACGTACCAGAAACAACTACTCTTCCCAAAGAAACTGCGACAGGAACAATTATTACACCTGTTACAGTTTCTGAAATGGTTTCTAGTACATCAGGAATTTTAACAACAAGATTGAAACCAGAATACACAACTGAGACTACTTCTCAAAGATATGAAACAACTGTTGTTCCAGTTAAAACCACAACAGTTAAAGACAAAGAATTAACACCTGCTAGTATTGTTCCTTTACCTGAAACAACAGTGAAATCAATTGTTACTGAAGTAAAAAATATAATTACTGTAGAACCTGGTACAACGGAATTTATTGCGGTAAGTACGAGTGGTAAACCTTTTACGGAAACAATAACAACAGGAGTAACGGAAGAAATGAGTACGGTAGGCGTTACTACCAAATACGCATACGACACTACTACGCCTTCCAAAGAATTTACAACAGAAACGGTTAGTGCACGCGTTACCATTCCTGAAGTTATTTTTAGCACACCGACTGTTATAACCAGTGAGACTACTTCTAAAAGATACGAATCAACTTTTCTTCCAGTTGAAACTACAACTGAAAAAATAGAAAAGTCGACACGTGCTACTACTGTTTCTGAAACAACAACATTTGCATCATCTTCAACAGTACCAGAAAGTACAACATCAGCAATGATTTCTGGATATGTTACTGTGCCAGAACTAACTGGGATACCCACTATAAAAATATACACAATTCCGGGGAAGGCCCAAAAAACAACTGAAAGAGGTGTAACGACAAAACAAGCAACAACATTTAATGAAGAAATAACTACTAGTTACAGTACTGAATTATATACTATCAATAATATTAAAACACTGCCTACAACTGTCAAAATGGAAACCGAAAAACTAGTTACACCCTTTGGAACAGAGAAAAGTAAAATCCCTGTGTCGTTTACAACATCTGCTCCTGAAAGATATACAACAGCAGTGCCAGAGAGTACTGTTCATACTCATATACCAACTGAAATTAGTACTCTAAAGCAATTTATTACGACTGAATTCGAGACAGCAGCAACTCCAGAAAAAGTAACACGTCCTTCAACAACAACAAGTGGCTATACTAGTCAGATACCAACAGAACAATACATAACAACAATTTTTACAGAAATCCCTAAAACCTCTGAATTTAGTACTAAGACTTCAAGTGAATCTGCAACTATTCCAATAGAAAAAACGACTAAATTTTTTAAAACTGTTCTGCCTGAAAGCACAGTTAGTTCTGCTACTCGAGAAACAATTATTACAGAAAATATTCCTCCCGAATACATTACTGTAACAACACCAAAAGTTGCTGAAGAAACGACAAAACTTGAGATAAGTACTATGGAATTTATGACAAGTCAAGGAATAACAGAAACTCATACACTATATACTAGCCCTATTAGTACTTCTACTGTAACTACAATTGAAAAAGAGGAAACTAAGCCTACAACTGCAAAGGAGTATACAACAGTTTTTCCAAAAGAAGGTAGCACTACATTAAAATCTGTTACTGTACCAGTGTACACATCACTTGTAACAGAAAAAGAAAAAACTTTATCGACAAGTGAGGAATTTCCTCTTAAGACAATGACTACATTGCGGACTCCTTTAGCGTTTACCATTCCTGGGGTAAAAAATACTGAAACGGAACAAACCACTAAACTTACTGAAGAATACACAACCCCGACAACTTCAGGTGTCGAAACCGAAAAAACGGGTAAAACTTTTGAAACTACGCCTGAAACCACAAGTGCATATTCTAGACCAACAACAAAATCGGCTTTGACTACAGAAAAAATTATTACTGAGTTTATAACAGGCAAATATACTCCCATCACAGACTATTTTACAAAAGAAGCTTCTTCCGAAGGTCCACAAAGTACAACACCTCTTGTAAGTATCACAACAGAGAAACAAATAACCCCCGTTACAACAATTGAGGAATTAGCAACAACTAAACCGTCTATAATTTTACCCGAAACAACAAGTACAACGGTAGGTGAAGAAAAAACAAAAACAATAACAGAAAATCCGCAAACAGAATCAATTGTAACATTAACTTCAGAAATGGCTTCAACGAAATATACTGTAGCTGTTACAACAGAAGGGGTTAAAAGTAGTACTGAATATACGACAACCAAAATTCCGGAAGGAGAAACAACAAAAATTGAATTTCGTCCTAGTACTCCAACAAGTACTGAATATATATCACCTATTAAAACCGAAGCTACATCAAGTAAAACATCTGAATTTACTTCACCACCTAGAGTAGAAACATCTACTTATGAAAAACCAATAACTGAGTTTACTTCTCCTATTAAAATTGAAACTGTAACACCACCTTCAGCTACTTTTGTAACTGAAGAAATTACGACTGAGTTTACGTCTCCAGTAATTAAAACTGTTGGAACTTCGACTGAAACAGCAGAAAGAACAGAATTCACCAGTAAAAAATTGTACACTTCTGCAACTGCTTCTACTATAACTGAAAGTGGAACAACATCTGGTCGTACTACTTTAAGTACTGAGAAGTCAACAAAAGGACCAGGAAAATCAACAGAATTTTCAAGAGTACCAAAAGTTACAGTTGTAACAGAACCTTCTATTGGCATAACAATAACTTCAGAGAGAGTTACCGAACAAACTCCAATAACACAAACAACTGAAACACCTCCTTATACCATATCCGGGTTTGAAACTACAAGTGACACCGTAAAATATTCACAACCTGTAACTGAAGAACAAGTTACTGCTAGTACGAAGGGAATTACTGTTTCTCCAGAGGCAGAAAAACCAATGATTGGATATCCTACTATTCCAGTAGTTGTGATTGGACAAGAAACAACCCCAAAATCCGTTACTAAACCTTTAATAACTACGGAAATAGGCTTAACAACTGAAAAACCAAGCAAAAAAGTAACTACGCTTGTATCAACTGAAATTGAAACTGCTTCGCCTACAGAACCTACAATTACCGCAACTACAAAGAAATTAGAAAATGAATATACTACCTTAGAGGAAAGTACTTCTAGAGGTATTGAAGCTACAACTATTCCATTTGTTACTACAATAAAAAAAGTAGTTACTCCTATTACTTTACTTCCAACGACGACTGAATATACAACTACTTTTAAAACAGTTACTAGTGCTGAAATTACAGAATTTACAGAAAATGTGACTAAAAAAGAAGGAACAACTTTACCGGGAGCTAATTTAATAACCGAAATGCCTACTTCAACTACAACTAAGGAATTAAGGCCTACAACAACTCCTCGTGAGATAGTACCTATTACAGAAATAGAAGAAACTTCAATGAAGAGTATCACCTTACCGGTGGTTACATCAACCAAACAAGTATCTATTACTACGTTACCAATGAAAACTGCCGCAACAACCACAACTTTACCTATTTCCACCTCGACAAATGTGGAAATAGGTAGTACTCAAGGATACACTACCGAACAAATCACACAATTAAGTACTCATCCCGGGACAACGACAACTTTATCTGAAATAACTGAAATTCCCACACAAACGGAGACGATTTCTAGTTTTGGCACTACCATGAAAGTTTTTACAAATGAGCAAACTTCTGTTAAATCAATTGGTACCGAAACTACTTCTGGTGAATATTTAACTGAAAAGCCTATTCCTTCAAGTAGTGTTACTACAGAAACTCTTCAGCCAATTTCAGGAGTTACAACTGAAAGTACCACTAAAGTACCAAGTCTTAATTTATCAACCCAAACGACAGAATTTCGGTTTTCTATAACTTCTGAAGGTTATACAGAAACCACAACTGTCGAAACTATGTTAACTTCGAAAACTCCTATTCCGATTGAGACTTACACAGAACGGACTACTAACCTAACTAATATTTGTAAATCGGACACGGACTGTGCTCCTTTCGAAACATGCCTATGCCAGCAATGCATTAACATTTGCGCAATTGGTGGTCGTTGCGCTCCAAACGCAATTTGTACAGCGCAAAACCACACGGAAATCTGCATGTGTCCACCAGGATACTCAGGAGATCCTAAAAGGAATTGCTTGCAAGGTATAAGCCACAAGTTATTCGCCCCCGAACACACCAGCCCTTGTATAAAATTGTAATATAGTCTCTTCACTTTATAATTCGAACTAATTGCACCAAATTGATTTTTTTAAAGTAATAGCATGGTAATTTTTGGTTTGCGGTAACTTGTAAATATTTTGTTAAAAATCCTCTCATATTTAACTCTGCCGTTTTAATATGGTGTTATAATATATTAATCTCTAACTGTCTACTAGAACCACCCCACTCAAAAGCACCTAAACCATGCGAATCAGATATGGACTGTCTCGAAAGCGAGGCTTGTTACATGTCGTTGTGTGAGGATCCCTGTGCGTTCACTAACGCCTGTGCGGACACTGCAAAGTGTCAAGTGAAAATGCACAGGCCGATATGTACATGTCCCATGGGATACGAAGGAAATCCTGCGGTTAAATGCTTCAAATCCTCAACAAGTAAGATAACATTTAACTATCGCGATGTAAATAATTCAATTAAAGCAATAATCAACAACATAACAGTCAAACTAATCAACAAAAATAGTTTTTTTTTTGTAAATTTCGTGTGAATAGTATGTAAATACCTAGACTAGTCTTCTTCTCTTACTATGTTCTTTGCACCTTTTTATCAGTAAGTTGCACCAACAACAACGATTGTCCCCTGACTGAAGCTTGCATCGGACATGCTTGTCAAAGGCCATGCGACGTGCACAACCCTTGTGCCCAAAACGCAGTCTGTGTTAACACAAATCATGGCTCGGATTGTAGCTGTGCTGAAGGTTTTCAAGGAAATGGTTACGTTGGCTGTGTGCCAGGTACTATCCTCAGCCAAAACCACCCAACAAACACTGACTTTGAATTTGCAGTTCACGACTATAAACCCATTTGCCAATACAACGAAGACTGTCCACCCAATAAACTCTGTGATAGACTCAACAGGATTTGTATCAACCCATGCTTCGAGGATTCGTGCGGTGAAAACGCGGAATGTTTGCCAAAAGACCACGGAATTGAATGTAGATGCTTGCCGGGGTACCAAGGCAACCCTTACACCGTCTGCGAGCAAGTTTTAGGTTGCCGATCTGACACTGATTGTGCTCCTAATGAAGCTTGCATTAACGGCCAGTGTGGCTCGCCTTGCCGTTGCGGCCCTTATGCCATTTGCGAAGTTCTCTATCACAAACCGACTTGTAGATGTCCACCGGGATTTGGAGGAAATCCAGCCACGGGTTGTACACCACCAACAAACCCTTGCGACCCAAATCCTTGTGGTACCCACGCCTTGTGTGAAATTGATAAAGGAAGTGCTGTTTGTTTCTGCCCTAAAGGCTTGACCGGAAATCCATTCATCAATTGCTGTAAGTCTCACTCTACTGATCAAGAAACTAGTTTAGTGTCTTTTATTAGTTCCAGAAGGTGACGACTGCTCTCCCAACCCTTGTGGTCCTAATTCTGGGTGTAAAGTCGTTGGTGGGAAAGCTGTTTGTTTCTGCTTACCCGAATTTGAAGGCACTCCTCCGCAAACTCCTTGTGCTTTACCAGCAAACCCATGCAATCCATCACCTTGTGGCCCTAACACCCAGTGCACAATTCTAAGCAACGGTTTTGCCAAATGTACCTGTCTACCGGGCTACTTGGAAAGTCCTAACACAATTCGTGGGTGCGTCGAGCCTAAAAACCCGTGCGAGCCTAACATGTGTGGTCAAGGGGCACTTTGCGACCCGTTACGCGACCCTGTCTGTTATTGCCCATATGGCACAGTTGGAAACCCTTATAGATTATGTGCTGAGCCCACAGTCGCACCTATGTTATGCAGTCCCGGGCCGTGCGGACCAAATGCCGATTGTTACGTGTCAAATAACCAAGAACAGTGTTACTGCCGAGCTGGATTTATCGGTGATCCTTATTCTGGATGTAGAATCGAGCCCCCAAGTCCTTGTTTTCCTAATCCTTGTGGACGTGGAGCCCAATGCGTTGTTTCCCCTGACGGTAAACCGATGTGTCGCTGTCCAGATGGTATGGGGGGTGACCCAACAGGACCTGCAGGTTGTCACGGCTATGAATGCGTGGTTGATGATAATTGTGCTGACCATCAAGCTTGTATGGGATATCGGTGTAGGGATCCTTGCCCTGGTTCGTGTGGAGTCAATGCCCACTGTCGAGTCGAGAAACACCATCCTGTGTGTACCTGCGCGCCGGAATTTACCGGAAATCCGGTTATTAGATGTTTCCCGGTACCCAAACCAATGCCTGAACGAAATCCATGCTTGCCTAGTCCTTGTGGCCTTAACACTGTATGCCAAGTTGCCGGAAATCGAGCAGTTTGTTCGTGCTTACCCGACTTCCAAGGAGATCCCCAGAGTGGGTGTAGGCCTGAGTGTGTACTCAACTCTGATTGTCCCATAAACAAAGCTTGTCTCGAGAGACACTGTGTTGACCCCTGCACTATTACTAATTTGTGTGGATTGAACTCTTTGTGCCAAGTACGCGACCATACGGCTACGTGCGTTTGCCCTGAGGGCTTTATGGGTGATCCATTCTACCAATGTTTGCCTACACCGCCGGTACCACCAGTCGCTAACGTATCAAAACCGTGTTTACCTTCACCTTGCGGTACTAACATCGAGTGCAATAACTACGGCGGACAGGTGGCCATTTGTGACCCTTGTTTAGGCCCTGACGCCCCCTGGAACCCACAGTGTCGACCGGAATGTCTCACTAACGCCGATTGTCCCTTTGATAAAGCTTGTTTGGGATCTGTTTGCGCTGACCCTTGCCCCGGCTCGTGCGGAGTCAATGCTTTGTGTACTGTTATCAACCACACACCGGCTTGCAGCTGTCCGCAGGGTCTAGTAGGAAATCCATTCGAACATTGCTCAGTACCAACAAGTAAGTCATTAATCATAATAACTGAATTTAATAAACCTTATAACACTTGTGTTTCAGAACCTCAAGACAGACTTGATACTTGTGAAAATGTGCGCTGTGGCGCCAACGCTCTCTGCAAGCAACAGAACCGAGCTTTGGCTTGTGTCTGCAAGAAAGGTTTTTATGGCAATCCTTGGATTGCGTGTCGACCTGAATGTGTCATCAACCCCGACTGTTCCCTCGACAAGGCTTGTATTAACAGTAAATGTGTCGATCCTTGCGCTGGTGTTTGCGGAGTTGGAGCCCAATGTGAAACTATAAACCACATTCCGATCTGTTTCTGTCCGCCTCAACACACCGGTGATCCATTCGTCACGTGTTATCCTTTCAAACCCCCAGCGCCGCCACTAGTTGTAATCCCGGGCAACCCTTGTGACCCTTCACCCTGTGGCCCTTACAGCAGGTGTCTAGTCTCGTCGCAAGGCTTCGCAACTTGCTCCTGCCTTCCGAATTATCACGGCGCACCCCCGGCTTGCAAACCTGAATGTATCGTGAGTTCGGAATGTCCCCAAACTCAGGCTTGCATCAATCAGAAATGTTCCGATCCTTGCCCCGGCATTTGCGGCAGTAACGCTCTTTGTACTGTTATCAACCACAACCCTATTTGTAGTTGCCCACCAGGCCTACAAGGCGATCCTTTCGTCAATTGCTACCAACCTCCAGCTATTGAAGAACCACGAGTACCGACTAATCCATGTAGCCCGTCTCCTTGTGGCCCTAACTCAATTTGTCAAGTCAAAAAGAACAGACCGGTGTGCTCCTGTAGTCCTAATTATATCGGAAGTCCGCCGTATTGTCGCCCTGAATGCGTTATTAGTCAAGAATGTCCCAAAAACCGGGCTTGTGTCAAAGAAAAATGCGTCGATCCTTGTATTGACACCTGTGGGCCTAATGCGAAATGTGACGTTGTTAATCATACGCCGTTCTGTAGTTGTTTGCAAGGGTACGAAGGCGATGCTTTTGTTGGATGCTCGAAAACTCCTGTCATTCCTAAAGATCCTTGTAATCCCTCGCCTTGTGGCGAAAATGCTCAATGTACAGTGGCAAACGGAGCAGCAAGATGCAGTTGTATACCTCCCTACATTGGAAATCCTTACGCTGGTGGTTGTAGGCCGGAATGTACCATCAATGCCGACTGTCCTTCCCACTTAGCTTGTCTGAGTCAACACTGCCGAAACCCTTGTCAAGGCTTGTGCGGCGCTAGGGCTGAATGTAACGTCGTTAATCATGTGCCGGTATGCACTTGTGCCAGAGGTCTTATCGGAGATCCTTTCACCTCGTGTCGGGAAGCGCCACCTGAACGTAAGTCACTCTCCTGTCCTCCAAAGTAAATTTATTACAATAATTTTGTCACTAGAACCCAAAAATCCATGCGAGCCTTCGCCCTGCGGCCCTAACAGTGTATGTCGAGTCAAGGGTAACCAAGCTGTGTGTTCCTGCCAAGTCGGCTATTTCGGAGCACCTCCTCGATGCCGACCTGAATGTCTAGTCAGTAGTGAATGTAGTCAACACCAGGCTTGCATAGCCCAAAAATGTCAAGACCCATGTCCAGGAGCGTGTGGTTACAACGCCAGATGTCAAGTCGTGAACCACAACCCGATTTGTAGCTGTCCTCCCAACTACATTGGAGATCCTTTCGTCCAGTGCAATCGAGAGGAACCTAAAACCGAACCACCGAAACCGGTCAGTCCGTGTATACCGTCTCCTTGCGGTGTCAACGCTGAGTGTCGCCCCGTTGACGATCGCCCAGTGTGTTCGTGTCTCGCTGGTATGTTGGGTGCTCCACCAAACTGCCGACCCGAATGTGTTATTAATCAAGATTGTCCTTCGCATCTCGCGTGTGTTAGCAATAAGTGTAAAGATCCCTGTGCCGGGTCGTGCGGTTATAACGCCCAGTGTAACGTGCTTAACCACCAACCGACTTGCACTTGTTTTTCTGGGTATGAAGGTGATCCATTCTCAGGCTGTAATCCAATCCAAGGTAAGATTTTTAAAATCAGCTTGTTTCTGAGTCTCCATTTCAGCCTTCTCTGCTATTTTCTTACTATTTCTCATCTTTTATAGTTATTGAAGAGCCTAGAAATCCTTGCAACCCCTCACCATGTGGGTCTAATGCTGTTTGCAAAGAACGCAACGGTGCTGGTTCTTGTACTTGCGTGCAAAATTATTTCGGTGATCCTTATGCCGGATGTAGACCTGAATGTGTAATGAATAATGACTGTCCGCATGATAAAGCATGTCTAGGAATGAAATGTCGGGACCCTTGTCCTGGTAGTTGTGGGGTTAACGCTGAATGTAAAGTTATAAATCATAATCCTCAATGTTACTGTTTGCCGGGGTATACCGGAAATGCTCTAAATCTCTGTCGAGAAGTCCCAGCCAGTAAGAAAACTCTAAACTGTCACAATCATGATTTTAACCCTTTCCTCGTAGTTACATACGAAGAACCTCGCCGAAACCCTTGCATACCATCCCCTTGTGGCCCTTACAGTATCTGTAGAGTACAAAACGACAGACCGGTTTGTTCTTGTTCTGCGGGTTATTTAGGCGCTCCGCCAAATTGCAGACCCGAATGTGTTGTCAATTCTGAGTGTCCTTTAGACAAGGCTTGTTTCAACCAAAAATGTACAGACCCTTGTCCAGGCACTTGTGGATACAACGCGTTATGTAAAGTAGTCAACCACAATCCGATTTGCAGTTGCCCTCCCGGCTATGAAGGTGATCCTTTCACCAGATGTATTGTAACAATAAGTAAGATTCTTACTCAAATTAGTTCATTTTTGCATGTCATTCTTTCTAGCTCCACCTGTAGTTGAAGAAAAAAATCCTTGTATTCCCTCACCATGCGGGCAATTTGCCGAATGTCGCGTGTCAAATAATAGGCCTGTTTGTTCATGTTTACCGAATTATTATGGGCAACCACCAAATTGCAGACCAGAATGCGTGGTAAATTCAGATTGTGCACTGACTAAAACGTGTCAAAACGAACGTTGCGTTGACCCTTGTCCCGGTTCTTGCGGCGTAAACGCTGAATGTAGAACAATTAATCATTCACCGGTTTGTTACTGTTTGCAAGGTTTCACCGGAGACCCGTTTTCAGGATGTCAACAAAGTAAGCTTAAAAACCTGAATTTCATGCCTACATATGTAAATTTTAGTCGTGGTTGTGGAAGAACCTAAACACCCATGCAACCCATCACCTTGTGGAGCAAACGCAATTTGTCGTGAATTAAACGGCGCAGGGTCATGTACCTGCATCCAGGAATACTCCGGTGATCCTTACTCCGGTTGTAGGCCCGAATGTGTGACAAATTCAGAATGTCCCCGAGATAAATCATGTGTCAACAATAAATGTAAAGATCCTTGCCCTGGAACATGTGGCCTAAATGCCGAATGTAGGGTATATAATCATGCCCCAACTTGTAACTGTTTGCCTGGATATACTGGAAATGCTTTACGGTCATGCCACCTTCCACCTCCACCTCGTAAGACTCCTAACCATACTCTAAGACACATTCATTCTTTCTTTAAAATTTAGCACCTGAACCGGAACGAAACCCTTGTGTACCGTCACCTTGTGGGCCTTATAGCCAATGTCGAGTCTCAAACGGCAATGCTGTTTGTTCCTGTCAAGCAAACTACATCGGGGCGCCCCCCTCTTGTCGCCCCGAATGCACAGTCAGTACCGATTGCATGCAAGACAAAGCTTGTATTAATCAAAAATGTCGAGACCCTTGCCCTGGAACATGTGGTCTAAACGCTCGATGTAATGTAATCAATCACAACCCGATTTGTAGTTGTTCACCCGGATATGAAGGAGACCCCTTTGTCAGATGCGTACCAATACCAAGTGAGCTACTTCCCGACTTTCAAATTTCAGTACTATTGCCACTTTATTGTAGAACAACCAGTTGTCGAACCTAGTGGCGACCCTTGCGTCCCTTCGCCTTGCGGCCCCAACTCTCAATGTCGCGTCGTAGGCTCACAACCCGCATGTTCCTGTCTACCTAACTACATCGGTCGGTCCCCTAACTGTCGCCCTGAATGTACCATAAACGCCGAATGTTCCAGTAACTTGGCTTGTATCAATGAAAGATGTCGAGATCCTTGTCCGGGTTCGTGCGGAGTTCTAAGTACTTGCATCGTTGTTAAACACTCACCAGTGTGTCAATGCGAAGTTGGCTACACTGGTGATCCTTTTGCTGGGTGCTCCCCTATTCCACAAATCGCCCCCGAACCTGTGAACCCATGCAACCCATCACCTTGTGGCGCGAATGCTGTTTGTAAGGAACGAAACGGAGCAGGATCTTGTACTTGTTTACCGGAGTATTTTGGCGATCCTTACTCCGGTTGTAGGCCCGAATGCGTTATAAACACCGATTGTCCGCGAGATAAAGCTTGTATTAATAATAAATGTAAAAATCCTTGTCCGGGAACATGCGGGTTGAACGCTGAGTGTATCGTGGCAAATCATGCCCCATCTTGCTCCTGTCTAGTCGGCTATACTGGGAATCCAGCTGTTGCTTGCCACCTGCCTCAACCTAGTACGTATTGCTTAATTTCATGTACTGTCTCTACTTGACTTTTCATATAGTTGTGGTTGAGGAACCCAAGACTGAGCCTTGCCAACCATCACCTTGCGGTCCTTACAGCCAATGTCGGGTCGTAAATGGACATGCGGTGTGTTCGTGTCAAGCTAATTACATTGGATCACCTCCAATGTGCAAACCCGAATGCATGATTTCGGCCGATTGCCCCTTAGACAAGGCTTGTATTAACACCAAATGTCAAGATCCCTGTCCTGGCACTTGTGGTCTTAACGCCAGATGCCAAATTGTTAATCATAATCCAATTTGTAGTTGTCCTGCTGGTTTTTCGGGAGATCCTTTCGTACGATGTTTACAAGAACGTAAGACTTTAAGAGTTTGCCTAGATTTATTACTTATTTCTTTCTTTAGCTGTAGCAAAACCAGCTCCACCTGAAAACCCATGTACTCCCTCACCTTGCGGTCCTAACTCTCAATGTAGAGTACTCGGTAATACACCGGCTTGTTCTTGCCTTCAAAATTACATCGGGAGACCACCGAATTGTCGCCCCGAGTGTACAATCAACTCAGAGTGTCCTGGTAATAGGGCATGTCAAAACGAACGGTGTGTTGACCCGTGTCCCGGGTCTTGTGGGGCTTTTGCCGATTGTGTTGTTATCACTCATAGATCGGTTTGTTCGTGCAAAGTGGGATACACTGGTGATCCTTTTGCGGGATGTAACCTCATTCCTAGTAAGATTTCGCAAAACTTGTCAAAGATTGTTACCAATTTAACGCATTTTAGTCATCCAACCTGTCGAAGAACCACGAAATCCATGCAACCCATCTCCTTGTGGCGCTAATGCCATTTGCAAAGAACGAAACAATGTCGGATCTTGTATTTGCTTACCGGAATATTTCGGAGATCCTTACACCGGGTGTAGACCCGAATGTGTGACAAATTCGGACTGTCCACGTGATAAAGCTTGCACAAATAATAAATGTAGAGACCCTTGTCCTGGCATTTGTGGCCTTAATGCCGAATGTAGGGTCAATAATCATGCTCCTTCGTGTTTATGCCTTCCTGGCTACACCGGAAATCCGCAAACTTCGTGCCATCTACCCCCTCCTAGTAAGATTCTAGATTCATACAAAAATCCACAACTAATGATTATTTTTAAAGAATTTGAGGAACCTAAAGGCAATCCTTGCGTTCCGTCACCTTGTGGACCTTACAGTAATTGTAAAGTAATAAATGATCATGCTGTATGTTCCTGTCAGCCGAATTATATCGGGGCACCGCCATCTTGCAAACCTGAATGTATGGTTAGTGCTGACTGTGCTCAAAATCGGGCTTGTATCAATACCAAATGCCAAGATCCTTGCCCTGGCACTTGTGGCATTAATGCCAGATGTCAGATCGTGAACCATAATCCAATTTGTAGTTGCCCTGAAAATTATGTTGGTGATCCTTTTGTCCGCTGTGTACTGCAACCAAGTAAGACTTCACCTTTTCCCGTATATTTTTTCTACTAGAGTATTTTAGAACCAACTGTTCCTGAACCCACCGGCAACCCTTGTGTTCCCTCCCCTTGTGGATTGAATTCCCAATGTAGGGTTGTCGGAACTCAAGCTGCATGTTCTTGTTTACCTGATTATATCAGCCGGCCCCCTAATTGCCGCCCTGAATGTACTATCAATGCTGAATGCCCGGGAAATCTTGCATGTCAGAATGAGAAATGTAAAGACCCTTGTCCTGGCTCTTGTGGATCTAGCACGACTTGTACTGTAGTCAAACATTCTCCTATCTGTGTCTGTGTTTCTGGATATACTGGTGATCCGTTTACTGGGTGTTCTCCTCTTCCACCTCGTAAGAATTTTCTTTATTTTTCTAACACTAATTTAAGCTCGACTAACCCAACTCATGACTGACTATTTCAGCAACACCTGTCACTGAACGACCTCCAAATCCTTGTGACCCGTCACCTTGTGGCGCTAATGCCATTTGTAAAGAACGAAACGGTGCTGGGTCTTGTACTTGCTTACCGGAATATTTCGGAGATCCTTACTCCGGTTGTAGGCCAGAATGTGTCACAAACTCGGATTGTGACCGAAGCAGAGCTTGTGTCAATAATAAATGCGTTGATCCCTGCCCTGGCACGTGTGGAATTAACGCCGAATGTCGGGTTATCAATCACGCACCGTCTTGTAGTTGTATTCCGGGTTATACGGGAGAGCCCCTCAGAGTTTGCAATTTAATCCAACCTAGTAAGACTCTTAATTTTTCTTTGAAACCAAATGAAACATGTATTTTTGTGTTAGTTGAAGAAGAACCGCCTCAAAACCCATGCCAGCCTAGCCCTTGTGGTCCTTACAGCCAATGTCGCGAAGTAAACAATCACGCGGTTTGCTCTTGCCAACCGAACTATATAGGGACGCCCCCCATGTGCCGGCCCGAATGTATAGTCAGTTCAGAATGTTCACAAGATAAAGCTTGCTCGAACCAAAAATGCGTAAATCCTTGCCGGTCAGAAGCCACGCCGTGTGGTCTTAACGCAGATTGTCGTGTAATCAACCACAATCCTATTTGCAGTTGCATACCCGGTTTTACTGGAGACCCTTTCACTCGTTGCTCTCGCATTGAATGTATGTTTCTTTTTCTTTACTTGTTCTTTTTCTATACTTTTCATTTCAGTACCTCCGCCTCAAAGGAATGACACAAACCCTTGTATACCTTCACCATGTGGACCAAATTCTCAATGTAGAGTTGTCGGTACCCAACCCGCATGCTCTTGTTTACAAAACTATGTCGGGCGGCCACCAAGTTGCCGACCTGAGTGTATTAACGACTCTGAATGTCCCAATTACAAAGCATGCAAAAATGAAAAATGTGTTGATCCTTGCCCGGGTACTTGTGGTACCAACGCACAATGTACTGTTGTTAATCATAGCCCAGTCTGTTCTTGCTTCCCGGGGTATACTGGTGATCCTTTCTCTTCTTGTATATTGCCACCTCCACCATGTAAGAATTCTTTATCTATCAAAAACCTTTAAAATTCATCATAACTTAACAAAAATTTTGGTATTGCAGCCACTGAACGAACACCACCTGCAACTCCATGTTTCCCATCACCATGTGGTCCAAATGCCGAATGCCGTGAGAAAAACGGAGCTGGTGCTTGTCTCTGTCTACCAGGATATCAAGGAGACCCCTATGATAGTAACAGAGGATGTCGACGAGAGTGCGAAGTCAATACTGACTGTGCCCCAGCTCTGGCTTGTGTCGCCTACAAATGTGTTGATCCTTGTCCTGGTACTTGTGGTACCTTCGCCGAATGTCGTGTAAACAATCATGTACCAACCTGCAATTGCCCAGCCGGATTTACGGGAGATCCATTTTTCCAATGCAAGGAAATACCACCAGAGCCGCCACGAAAACAAGAAAATCCATGCAACCCGTCACCTTGTGGTCCTAATAGCCAGTGTAGAAACTTTAATGACCAAGCTGTATGTTCGTGTTTGCCAAACTTCATTGGTACACCCCCCAACTGCCGGCCAGAGTGTATCGTCAGTTCGGAATGTTCCTCAGACAAGGCTTGCATCAATCAGAAATGTGGTGATCCTTGTCCTAACACCTGTGGACTTGGGGCTCAATGCAGTACTAGGAATCATAGCCCGATTTGTGCCTGTCCTCCAGGATTTACGGGAGATCCGTTCACTAAATGCTCCCCACAAGGTATTTTTTTTCATAATTTTGTCAAATCGTTAAACAATTTTTTGCAGTCGTGGTTCCTGAACCAACAACCGAGCGACCTCCATCATGCGTTCCTTCGCCATGTGGACCTAACTCCCAGTGCCAGATCAGTGGAGGTGTCCCATCTTGTTCTTGTCTGCCCAATTACATCGGGGCTCCCCCTAACTGTCGTCCAGAATGTACAATTAGCTCGGAATGTGGCAGTCCTCTTGCTTGCATCAACCAGAAATGTCGCGACCCTTGCCCGGGTTCTTGTGGTTCCAGTGCAAAATGCCACGTTTTGAACCACATCCCTGTTTGTACTTGCGAAGATGGCTATACTGGCAACCCCTTCGTCCAGTGTACTCCTATACCATCAGTAACCGAATCACCGGTACCTCGAAACCCATGCAACCCATCACCGTGTGGTCCCAACGCCCAATGTAATAACGGTATATGTACATGTCTCCCGGAATTCATCGGAAATCCATACGAGGCTTGCCGACCCGAATGCGTGATCAGTAGTGAATGTAGCAGAGATAAGGCTTGTATCAGGAACAAGTGTGTTGATCCTTGCCCTGGAACATGTGGTACCAATGCAAGATGTGATGTTATTAATCACATTCCAACATGTTCGTGCCCTGATGGCTACACTGGAGATCCATTTACGAATTGTCGGGTATCTGAACCAAGACTACCAGTTCCTACGAACCCATGCAACCCATCACCTTGTGGCCCTAACAGCCAGTGTAAAAACATCAACGACCATACTGTATGCTCGTGTCTTCAAGGCTACGTGGGAGCACCACCGTCATGTCGACCTGAGTGTGTTGTCAGTGCTGAATGTGCCCTAACGAAGGCTTGTGTCAACGCGAAATGTGTTGATCCTTGTCCTGGATCATGCGGATTGTCTGCTCGGTGTGAAGTTATCAATCATAGCCCAATCTGCAGTTGCCCTGAGGGTCAAACTGGTGATCCTTTCCAAAGTTGCCGACTTATCCCACCTCCACCTTCAACTCCCGCACCTGTTCCAACCGATCCTTGCGTACCATCCCCTTGCGGACCGAACTCAATCTGTCGCCGAGTCGGAGATACTCCATCTTGCAGTTGTGCCCCTGATTACACCGGAAGTCCACCAAACTGTCGCCCAGAATGTGTGATTAACCCCGACTGTCCAAGCAATTTAGCTTGTATTAACAATAAATGTAAAGACCCATGTCCTGGCAGTTGTGGAATTAATACTGAATGTCGAGTGATAAGTCACGCTGTTTCGTGCTCGTGCTCTCCCGGATTTGTGGGCAATCCGTTCGTCCAATGTACAGTACAAGAAATGGAACCGGTCAATCCTTGTGAACCATCACCGTGTGGTTCGAACGCGGTTTGTATGGAAAGGAATGGAGTGGGTTCATGCAGGTGTATAGATGATTATCAAGGAAATCCCTACGAAGGGTGCCGACCAGAATGCGTCTTAAGTTCAGATTGTCCGACTAACAAAGCTTGCATCAGGAATAAATGTGGTGATCCTTGCCCTGGAATTTGTGGACAGAATGCCGAATGCTCTGTCATTAATCACGTGCCAACTTGTACTTGCATTGGAGACTATATTGGAGATCCTTTCACCGGTTGCACACCTCCACCACGTAAGAAACATCTTGAAACTTTAATTGTAATAAAACCTAATCACATTTTTTCAGCGGTCACTGAACCAACTGTCTACGTCGACCCCTGCAACCCCAGCCCTTGTGGCCCTTATAGTCAATGTCGCAACGTTAATGACCAAGCCGTCTGTTCCTGTTTACCTGAATACATAGGATCTCCCCCTAACTGCAAACCCGAATGCGTGGTCAGTTCCGAGTGTCCTCAAAATCGTGCGTGCCATAAATTCAAATGTGCCAATCCTTGTACCGGCACTTGCGGAGTCGGTGCTCGATGCGAAGTCATCAACCATAACCCCATCTGTAGCTGCCCATCGGGTCTAACGGGTGATCCATTTTTGAGATGTTACGAATTACCACCACCGCCACCGCAACCAACACCCAAACCGGTCAATCCATGTCAACCATCACCTTGTGGACCAAACTCCGTGTGTAGAGCTGTCGGAGACCAACCCTCATGCTCGTGTCTTCCGAATTACACCGGAGCGCCACCTAGTTGCAGACCTGAATGTGTTGTCAATACTGACTGTCCATCAAACTTGGCGTGTATTACGGAGAAGTGTAGAGATCCTTGTCCTGGGTCTTGTGGTTTCAATGCGGAATGTCGGGTTCAAAACCACATACCCATTTGTAGCTGCATTGCTGGAATGGTAGGCGACCCCTTCACACAGTGCAAGCCTGAAGTTAAGCCAGAGATACCAAAAGTACCAACTGACCCATGTAACCCATCACCTTGTGGAGCCAATACGCAATGTAGAGATGGTATTTGCTCTTGTCTCCCAGAATATTTCGGAGATCCGTACAGAGGCTGTAGACCGGAATGTACCATGAACACTGACTGCTCCCCCAACAAAGCTTGCGTCAATCACAAATGTATAGACCCATGTCCTGGTACTTGTGGCCAAGACGCTGTTTGCGACGTCGTCAACCACATCCCAACCTGTACTTGTCCTCCCGGCTACGAAGGCGACCCATTCACCAGTTGTAGACCAATCAAAAACGAACCACCGCGCGACCCATGCAACCCATCACCCTGTGGCCCCAATAGTCTCTGCCGGGTCAACAACGGAGTCGCGGTTTGCTCCTGCCAACCCGGCCTCATTGGCTCACCCCCGAGTTGCCGACCTGAATGCATCGTCAGTGCCGAATGCCCCCTTACCAAAGCTTGTCTCAATAACAAATGCGTAGACCCTTGTCCTGGCACGTGTGGAATCAACGCTAAATGCCAAGTGGTCAATCACAACCCGATTTGTAGCTGTATTGAAGGCATGACTGGAGATCCTTTCACAAGATGTACTCAAATCATTGAACGCAAGCCGGAAAATCCGTGTGTGCCGAGTCCGTGTGGTCCGAATTCGATTTGCCAAGTCCGTGGCGAAAGTCCGGCTTGCTCGTGTCGCGAGAATTACGTGGGAGTACCGCCGAATTGTCGACCGGAGTGTACGATCAACCCGGAATGTTCCAGTGCTACGGCGTGTATTAACCAAAAGTGTCGCGATCCGTGTCCCGGAAGTTGCGGACAATATGCCGTGTGTAATGTGATCAATCACAATCCGGTGTGTAAATGTAATCCAGGGTTTGAAGGAGATCCGTTTGTGGGATGCGCACCTGTCGTCGCACCAGGTAGGATTTTGATTTTTTCACGTCGAAAGCAATGTCATTAATAAAATTTACTAGACTATTACATGATATTGCATTTCGTCATCATTTCTGTATAGTTTTCCCTTTCCGATCATTACAAATACCATTACAGGTGAACTTTTTATGATTCAGTAATTTGAAATTGTTGTAATGGTGTTTGTCCTCTGCATGTTTCTTAGCTGTAAATACTAAACTGCTTTGCTTCCGGGGATACACCAGGTAAGGAACCGTATCCCCCAACGATAACAACGAGCTTCATCAACGCGCTAATGCCCCATTATTGCTATATCACGTCCCCCTTCCCGGTTACAAAGCGGTATAAACGAACTCCCCCCACAAAATAACCCAAAGCTTTAAACCAAAGAACGGAACGGTTTTTGCGTACACGTACACAATCCCCTGACGCTTGCGGAAATTGACCCTTGCCCTCCCCCTAATCGAGCTTAAGCCACCACTGTAATTTTGCGCAAAGCAGCTAATAATAAAGCGTGTAATGGTATAAAACCCACGGCTTGAGTGCACGAACTAAAACAAACGGGCACGGTTTTGACTATTATGATACTTTCAGTTCAAATTCCCACTGAAGTTTTGACCCCCTGTTCGCCGTCTCCATGCGGTGCTAATGCGATTTGTAAAGAACGGAATGGCGCAGGTTCTTGTGTCTGTGCTGCGGAGTATATTGGAAACCCTTACGAGGGTTGTAGGCCGGAATGTGTTCACAATTCGGATTGTTCCCCTAATAAAGCGTGTACAAGGAATAAGTGTATTGATCCTTGCCCAGGCACGTGTGGGCAAAATGCCCAATGCCAGGTTATCAATCATGCACCTTCTTGTACTTGTATTCCTGGATATACCGGTGATCCTTTCAGATTTTGTAACTTGCCACCAGAACGTAAGAATTTAAACTGTTTGAATTCCTTATTGTATTTGTTGTATCACAGCTCAGAGAGATGTTATCCCCACAAATCCGTGCCAACCTAGCCCCTGTGGCCCCAATAGCCAATGTCGAGAAGTTAACGGCCAAGCAGTTTGTTCGTGTTTGCCCAATTATATCGGAAGTCCCCCTGCATGTAGACCAGAGTGTGTGGTCAGCTCAGAATGTGCCTCTAATAAGGCTTGTATCAATCAAAAATGTGCAGACCCTTGTCCTGGCACTTGCGGATTGTCTACTAATTGTCAAGTGATCAATCATAGCCCAATTTGTAGTTGCCTACCCGCATATACGGGCGATCCTTTCTCTCGTTGTTACCCAATTCCACGTAAGACACTCAATGTTTAGAAAAAAAACTGTCTAATGTCACAATTTTAGCACCTCCGGTCGAAATCAAACCATTACCACCAGCAAACCCCTGTTTACCGTCCCCATGTGGTCCAAACTCGCAATGTCGCGACATCGGAGGCTCCCCCTCTTGCTCCTGTTTACCTGAATTTACCGGAAGTCCACCAAATTGTCGGCCCGAATGTGTCCAAAATCACGAATGCCCAAGTAATCAAGCTTGTATTCGTAACAAGTGTAAAGACCCCTGTCCTGGATTATGCGGAGTTGCAGCTGAATGTCGCGTACTTAACCACGTTGCAATTTGTGTTTGTCCTGAAGGTTTCACAGGAGACCCTTTCAATAATTGTTTCCCTAAACCACAAGAAGTTGAACCCGTTATAGAGAAAAATCCTTGTAATCCTTCTCCATGTGGATCAAATGCTCAATGTAATAATGGAATATGTACTTGCCTCCCGGAGTATCAGGGTGACCCCTACAGGGGTTGTAGACCCGAATGTGTCCTTAGTGATGATTGCCCACGAGACAAAGCTTGTCGTAGGAATAAATGTATAGACCCTTGTCCAGGAACATGTGGGCAAGGAGCAGTCTGTATTGTCACAAATCACATTCCTATGTGCAGTTGTCCCCCTGGTTATACTGGAAATGCATTCGTATACTGCAGCATTTTAGAAAGTTTGTAACCAAACAGCCTATTTTGGTTTTGTTCTCATTTGTTTATTTTAGCACCTCCAAAACGAAACCCTTGCAACCCTTCACCTTGTGGCCCTAATAGCCAATGTCGCCAAATAAACGGACAAGCTGTATGTTCGTGTGTGCCAGGTTTTATCGGAAGTCCCCCATCTTGTAGACCTGAATGTATTACAAGTTCAGAATGTCCTTTAACCCAAGCTTGTATCAATCAAAAATGTGTCGATCCTTGCCCTGGAACATGCGGTTTGAATGCTAAATGCCAGGTTGTTAATCACAACCCAATTTGTAGTTGCCCTCCTGACTACACCGGAGATCCCTTCACTCGGTGCTCACCCAAACGTAAGAACCAGCAATTTTAAACAATCCCAAATCAATTAATTTTTTAGCACAAGAAGAGCCCCCTCAAATACCGACAAATCCCTGTCAACCGTCACCCTGTGGCCCCAACTCTCAATGCAAACCAGTTGGAGAATCTCCTTCTTGCTCTTGTCTCCCAGAATTCGTCGGTTCACCCCCTAACTGTCGCCCTGAATGTGTTACAAACAGTGAATGTGCCCTAAGTCTGGCTTGTATCAACCGAAAATGTGCAGATCCTTGTCGTGGTACTTGCGGAGCTAATGCAGAATGTCGAGTAGTAAACCACGCACCAAATTGTGCTTGTTTACCTGGATTTGAAGGTGATCCTTTTGTACAATGTATCCAAAGACCACCACCCCCACCCGAACCTGCAAACCCATGTGTACCATCACCTTGTGGTTCCAATGCGGTTTGTAAAGAGAGAAATGGGGCTGGATCATGTGTTTGTCTACCTGAATATATAGGAAACCCTTACGAAGGGTGTAGGCCTGAATGTGTTTTAAGTTCAGATTGTCCCCTAAATAAGGCTTGTGTTCGGAATAAGTGTGTTGATCCGTGTCCAGGGACATGTGGGCAAAATGCCCAATGTCAAGTTATCAACCATGCACCGTCCTGTACTTGTAATCCAGGCTATACAGGTGATCCCTTCAGATATTGCAATCTACCGCCAGAACGTAAGTTAATTAACAAAAATAAGGCCCCAACTATTTTTTAAAATTTAGCTGTGAGAGATGAAACTCCTAAAAATCCGTGCCAACCTAGTCCCTGTGGCCCTAACAGCCAATGTCGCGAAGTAAACGGACAAGCAGTTTGCTCGTGTTTGCCCAGTTATATTGGTAGTCCACCAAGTTGTCGCCCCGAGTGCATGGTCAGCTCAGAATGTGCCCTAAATAAAGCCTGTATTAATAAAAAATGTGCCGATCCTTGCCCTGGCACTTGTGGCCTAAATGCCAATTGTCAAGTCATCAATCATAGCCCAATTTGTAGCTGTCGGGCAGGCTTCACAGGCGATCCTTTCACCCGATGTTTGCCAATACCACCACGTATGACAGTTTCCTCAATTTAGGTTTCTAAAAATAACACAATTTTTGTAGCTCCAGTTGAAACACCTAAACCAGTTATAATCAATCCGTGTGTCCCTAGCCCATGCGGGCCCAACTCCCAATGTCGTGAAGTAGGTAGTTCACCTTCATGTTCTTGTTTACCCACATTTATCGGATCTCCGCCAAACTGTCGACCGGAATGTACCATAAACTCAGAATGTGCAAGTAATCTGGCTTGCATTAATAGTAAATGTAGAGATCCTTGCCCAGGATCGTGTGGAACTGGGGCTCAATGTAATGTCATCAATCACACTCCGATTTGCACTTGTCTTGAAGGATACACGGGTGACCCCTTCACACATTGTCAACCAAAACCACAAGAAGTGGAACCGGTCAAAACAGATCCTTGCAATCCGTCACCTTGTGGCTCAAATGCTCAATGCGATAATGGAATTTGTACGTGTTTACCAGAATATCAGGGAGATCCGTATAGAGGTTGCCGTCCTGAATGTGTTTTAAACAGTGATTGTCCGAGAAATAGGGCATGTTTGAGAAATAAATGTCAGGATCCTTGTCCTGGCACTTGTGGTCAAAATGCCGAATGTTCGGTTGTTAATCACATCCCGATTTGTACTTGTATTCAAGGATATATCGGGAATGCCTTCATAACATGTTCACCTATTCCAGGTATTGAGACTAGTGGTGCAATTATGTTTAAATAACTAGCAAATTTTAGCCGAAAGGCCCAAAAATCCATGCAACCCGTCGCCCTGTGGCCCCAATAGTCAATGCAGAGAAATAAACGGCCAAGCGGTCTGTTCTTGTGTCCCCGGTTATATTGGGAGTACCCCAACTTGTCGCCCTGAATGTGTCACAAGCTCGGAATGTCCCTTAAACGAAGCTTGTGTTAATCAGAAATGTATCAATCCTTGTCCTGGAACATGCGGTTTGAATGCCAAATGCCAGGTTGTGAATCACAATCCGATTTGTAGCTGTCCTCCTGATTATACTGGTGATCCCTTCGTTAGATGTTTACCAAAACGTAAAATTTTCAAGTACCGTAATTCCTGACTCATAGGATTTATATTTTAGCGCAAGAAGAACCCGTGATTGTAAATCCGTGTCAACCATCACCTTGTGGTCCCAATTCACAATGCAAAGAAATAAACGATTCACCGTCTTGCTCATGTTTACCCGAATTTATCGGATCGCCACCTAATTGTCGACCAGAATGTGTCAGTAATAGCGAATGTGCAAGTCATTTAGCTTGTATTAATCGAAAATGTGTTGATCCTTGTCCTGGTACTTGTGGCCAAAATGCCGAATGTCGGGTCATAAGTCACACACCGAACTGTATTTGCATTCCGGGTTATAACGGAGATCCTTTTACTCAATGTACAGTACCAGTAGCCCCAGCTCAGGAAATTCTAACTCCTTGTAACCCATCACCGTGTGGTATCAACGCTCAATGTAAAGAACGAAATGGTGCTGGGTCTTGTGTTTGCAATCCTGAATACATTGGAAACCCCTATGAGGGTTGCAGACCGGAGTGTACCCTCAATTCCGACTGTCCCTCTAATAAAGCTTGCATACGAAATAAATGTCAAGATCCATGCCCTGGAACGTGTGGCCAAAATGCAAATTGTCAAGTTGTCAATCATTTACCCTCTTGTACTTGCATTCCTGGCTACACAGGTGATCCTTTCAGATATTGTAACCTACCACCAGAACGTAAGACTTCTTCTTTATCTTTGAAATCTCCTAGGAACCTATTTTTTTACAGCCTTGAAAGATGACATACCTATAAATCCATGCCAACCTAGCCCATGTGGCCCTAATAGTCAATGTCGCGAAGTCAACAATCAAGCAGTTTGCTCGTGTTTACCTAATTATGTTGGAAGTCCACCTGGTTGTAGACCAGAATGTGTGGTTAGTTCAGAATGTCCCAAAAACAAGGCCTGTCTTAACCAGAAATGTGTCGACCCTTGCCCTGGCACATGTGGTGTTAATACAAACTGCCAGGTTATCAACCACAGTCCGATTTGTAGCTGTACACCTGGAAACACAGGAGATCCATTCACAAGATGTTACCCTCTACCACCCCCACCACCTGAACCAGTAAAACCCATAGTGACAAATCCTTGTGTACCATCACCCTGTGGTCCTAACAGTCAATGCCGTGATAGTGGAGGCTCTCCCTCTTGTTCCTGTTTACCTAACTTTGTAGGATCACCGCCAAATTGTCGACCTGAATGTACAATAAATTCAGAATGTGCAAGCAACTTGGCTTGTATTAATACGAAATGTAGGGATCCTTGTCCTGGATCGTGTGGTTCCGGTGCCCAATGCAATGTCATCAACCATACTCCTATTTGTACTTGCCCTGAAGGCTACACTGGTGACCCATTCAGTTATTGTCAACCTAAACCACAAGAAGTAGAACCGATTAAGACCGACCCTTGTAACCCATCACCTTGTGGACCTAATACTCAGTGTAACAACGGAGTTTGTACTTGTTTACCTGAATATCAAGGTGATCCATACAGAGGATGTAGACCCGAATGCGTTCTCAATACTGACTGTCCAAGAAACAAGGCTTGTATCAGAAACAAATGTGTTGACCCTTGCCCTGGAACATGTGGCCAAAACGCTGAATGTGCTGTCAATAACCATATTCCAACATGTACTTGCATCCAAGGTTACATCGGCAATGCTTTTATTTTATGTAGCAAAATACCAGAGAAGATTCCCCAAAATCCATGCAACCCCTCGCCCTGTGGTTCCAATAGCCAATGTAGAGAGATAAACGGACAAGCGGTTTGTTCTTGTGTTCCCGGTTATATTGGAACTCCACCAGCTTGTCGGCCTGAGTGCGTTACAAGTTCTGAATGTCTTTTAAACCAAGCTTGTGTCAACCAAAAATGTATCGACCCGTGCCCTGGCACGTGTGGTGTCAATGCCAAATGCCAGGTTGTAAATCATAATCCGATCTGCAGCTGTCCTCCGAGATATACAGGAGATCCATTTGTCAGATGTCTTTCAATTCGTAAGACTTTAACATTAATGAGAGCAACCACAATAAATATATTTTTGTAGCTGAAGATGTACCACTTCCTCTTCCTATAAACCCATGTCAACCTTCCCCTTGCGGTCCCAACTCCCAATGTAAAGTTTTAGGAGAATCTCCTTCCTGTTCTTGCCTTCCAGAGTTTCAAGGATCACCACCTAATTGCCGGCCTGAATGTATCAGTAACAGCGAATGTAGTAATAATTTGGCTTGTATCAACCAAAAATGTAAAGATCCCTGTCCGGGCACGTGTGGTGCTAATGCTGAATGCCGAGTTATTAGTCATACTCCCAACTGTATTTGCCCATCTGACTACATTGGGGATCCTTTCACTCAGTGTACTCCCAGACCACGTAAGAGTCAAATTCTTGAACCTTCAACCACCAACTTTTCAACTTGTAGCTGTTGTTCCTGTCGAACATTTGTCACCCTGTTCGCCCTCTCCATGTGGACCAAATGCACAATGTCGAGAGCAAAACGGTGCTGGTGCTTGTGTTTGTTTACCTGATTACATCGGAAACCCCTACGAGGGTTGTAGACCGGAATGTGTCCTCAATTCTGATTGTCCATACAATAAAGCTTGCATCAAAAATAAATGTCAAGATCCTTGTCCTGGAACGTGTGGGCAAAACGCCCAATGCCAGGTTGTAAATCACTTACCGTCATGTACTTGCAATCCTGGATATACGGGAGACCCATTTAGATATTGTTCTTTACCACCACCTGAACGTAAGACTTTTTCACCTATTTTTCTAAATGCTGATTTCGGTTAATTTAGCTGTGAGAGACGAACCAACAAATCCGTGCCAACCTAGTCCTTGTGGTCCTAATAGTCAATGTCGGGAAGTTAACGGCCAAGCAGTTTGTTCGTGTTTGCCAAATTATGTCGGAAGTCCACCGGGTTGTCGCCCTGAATGTGTAGTTAGTTCCGAATGTGCCTTAAATAGGGCTTGTTCAAACCAGAAATGTGTTGATCCTTGCCCTGGAACATGTGGTCTCAATGCCAATTGCCAAGTTATCAATCATAGTCCAATTTGTAGTTGCCAGAGTGGCTTTACCGGCGATCCTTTCAGTCGGTGCTACCCCATACCCCGTAAGTTACCACACGTGTATTTAAGTTCCATTTTGAGAAAAACTTTTAGCACCACCTCCGACCCCCGTCACCCCGGTTGTAACAAACCCCTGCGAACCGTCACCCTGTGGTCCTAATAGCCAATGCCGAAATATCAACGGAAATCCGTCTTGTTCGTGTCTCCCTAATTACATAGGAAGCCCTCCAAATTGCCGACCTGAGTGTACTATAAATTCAGAATGTGCGAGTAATTTGGCTTGCATTAGAGAGAAATGTAGAGACCCTTGTCCCGGTTCATGTGGATCTGGGGCTGTATGTAACGTTATAAACCACACACCGACTTGTACTTGCCCAGAAGGATACACCGGAGATCCATTTACCTTCTGTCAACCCAAACCCCCACAACGTAATTAATCCAACGATACATTATTCCAAAAAATTGCAAAAATTTCTTCTAGCCACAAAACCAGTCGAAGATGACCCATGCAACCCATCGCCTTGCGGTTCCAACGCTCAATGTAATAATGGAATTTGTACATGTTTGCCTGAATATCAAGGAGACCCCTATAGAGGTTGTCGACCCGAATGTATACAAAGTTCAGATTGTGCAAGAGACAAAGCTTGCATTAACAAAAAGTGTGTTGATCCTTGTCCTGGTACTTGTGGTCAAAATGCCGAATGCTCAATTATGAACCATATTCCAATTTGTACTTGCATTCAAGGCTACACCGGCAATGCTTTTGTTTTGTGTAACCGAATTCCAGAACCAGTGCCCAAAAACCCGTGCAACCCCTCACCCTGTGGTCCTAATAGCCAATGTAGGGAAGTAAATGGACAAGCTGTGTGTTCTTGTGTCCCCGGATATATCGGTAGTCCACCGACATGTCGCCCCGAATGCGTTACAAGCGCCGAATGTTCCCTCAATCAGGCTTGTGTCAATCAAAAATGTATAGATCCTTGCCCTGGTACTTGTGGAGTTGGTGCTAGATGCCAAGTGGTTAACCACAATCCGATTTGTACTTGTCCTCAGCAATTCACAGGTGATCCTTTCATCAGATGTCTGCCAATTCGTAAGTCACAGTTACAAAACTCACAATCAAGGCAATGACCACAACTTTGTAGCCCCCGAACCTGTCGAGGCACCATCAAACCCATGCCAACCTTCCCCTTGCGGTCCAAACTCACAATGCAAAGACGTAAACGGGGGACCGTCTTGTTCTTGCCTCCCTGAATTTGTAGGGTCACCACCTAACTGCAAACCCGAGTGTGTCAGCAACAGTGAATGTCCAAATAATTTGGCCTGTATTAATCAGAAGTGTAAAGATCCTTGTCCTGGTACTTGTGGCCAAAATGCCGAATGCAGAGTTATCAGTCACACACCGAACTGTGTTTGTCTGCCTGGATTTACCGGAAATCCGTTTACGCAATGCCAGTTGCCACCTCCGGTTCAAGAAGATGTAACACCGTGTTCACCATCTCCATGCGGAGCAAATGCACAATGTCGCGAACAGAACAAAGCTGGTTCATGTACCTGTTTACCGGATTACATTGGGAATCCTTACGAAGGGTGTAGGCCGGAATGTGTCCTCAATTCAGATTGTCCCTCAAACCAAGCTTGTGTTAATAACAAATGTAAAGATCCGTGTCCTGGAACGTGTGGACCTAATGCCAATTGTCAGGTTGTTAATCATGTTCCTTCCTGTACTTGCATTCCGGGATACACCGGAGATCCATTTAGATATTGTAATCCTATTCCTGCCCAACGTAAGTTTTTTTTAATCAGAATTTGCTTTTTATCTATTTGTTGATAATTCAGCGGTTTTGGAAGAACCAACAAATCCTTGCCAACCGTCACCTTGTGGACCTAATAGTCAATGCCGCGAAGTAAACAACCAAGCTGTTTGTTCCTGTTTACCGAATTATGTGGGCAGTCCACCCGGATGTCGCCCTGAATGCGTAGTCAGTACCGAATGCCAATTAACTAAGGCTTGCATAAACCAAAAATGTGCCGACCCTTGCCCTGGCACTTGTGGTTTAAATGCCAAATGCCAAGTTATCAACCATAGCCCAATTTGTAGCTGTCAGTCGGGCTACACCGGTGATCCATTCACTCGTTGTTTCCCAATACCACCACGTAAGACGCTCAGTTCCCTATTTTTTTAGTCCAACATCAATTAATTTACAGCCCCACCTGTGCAACCACCACAAATCGTTGTAAACCCTTGTGTACCATCTCCTTGTGGTCCTAATAGCGAATGTAGAGACATACGAGGAACACCATCTTGTTCGTGCTTACCCACCTTCATCGGAAGCCCACCCAATTGTCGCCCAGAATGTACCATAAACTCGGAATGTTCCAGTAATTTGGCCTGCATTAATAGTAAATGTAGGGATCCATGTCCAGGATCGTGTGGCACAAGTGCCCAATGTAGCGTCATCAACCATACTCCTATCTGTACTTGTCCTGATGGCTACACCGGAGACCCCTTCAGTTATTGTACTCCTAAACCTTCCCCACCAAAAGAACCAGTAGTTACAGACCCATGCAACCCATCACCGTGTGGTGCAAATGCTCAGTGTAACAATGGTGTTTGTAGTTGTCTTCCAGAGTATCAAGGAGACCCCTACCGGGGCTGTAGACCTGAATGTGTCCTTAATTCGGATTGTTCAAGAGACAAAGCTTGCGTTAGGAATAAATGTGTGGACCCTTGTCCTGGGACATGTGGGCAAAACGCTGAGTGCAATATTTACAACCATATTCCCATCTGTACTTGCTTACAAGGATACACAGGAAATGCTTTTGTTCTATGTAGTCAAATGGTAACTCCGCCACCTCAAAACCCATGTAGTCCATCGCCTTGTGGTCCTAACAGTCAATGTAGAGAGATTAATGGACAAGCGGTCTGTTCGTGTATCCCTGGTTATATCGGAAGTCCCCCAACTTGTCGACCGGAATGTGTCACAAGCTCAGAATGTGCACTAAATCAAGCTTGTGTTAACCAGAAATGTATAGACCCATGTCCTGGTACATGTGGTTTGGGTGCCAAATGCCAAGTTGTCAACCATAATCCAATTTGTAGTTGTCCTCCGCGATACACCGGTGATCCTTTCGTCCGTTGCAACTTAATTCGTAAGTTAGAGTCAGCCTAACGTGAATCTTCCTAAAATTAAGGAATTTTAGCACTTGAAGAACCCCCAACACCTACAAATCCGTGTCAGCCTAGTCCTTGCGGTCCCAATTCGCAGTGCAAGGAAATAAACAACTCACCGTCATGTTCTTGCCTCCCTGAATTTATCGGAAGTCCGCCGAATTGTAGGCCAGAATGCTCAAGTAACAGCGAATGTGCTAATCACTTGGCGTGTATCAACAACAAATGTAAAGACCCATGTCCTGGAATTTGTGGTTCAAATTCCGAATGTAGAGTTATAAGTCATACACCTAACTGTGTTTGTTTGCCGGGCTACACTGGCGATCCGTTCGTCCAATGCAATCCTTACCAACCCCCACAACCCGTTTCAATTGTTTCACCATGTACTCCATCACCTTGTGGGGCTAATGCCCAATGTAGAGTCCAAAACACAGCCGGTGCTTGTATTTGTCTTCCTGAATACATTGGAAACCCGTATGAAGGATGTAGACCAGAATGTGTACTTAGTTCGGATTGTCCCTCAAACAAAGCTTGCATTAGAAATAAATGTGTGGATCCTTGTCCTGGTACATGTGGACAAAATGCCCAATGTCAAGTGATTAATCATTCGCCTTCTTGTACTTGCATTCCCGGTTATACGGGTGATCCCTTCAGATATTGTAATTTACCACCACAACGTAAGTTTTATTCCTGGTAAAAAAATTGAGTTATAACAATTTAATTTAGCCGTAGAAGATGAAACTCCTAAAAATCCATGTCAACCAAGCCCTTGTGGTCCTAATAGCCAATGTCGCGAAATTAACGGACAAGCAGTTTGCTCGTGTTTGCCAAATTACATCGGAAGTCCTCCTGGTTGTAGACCCGAATGTGTGGTCAGTTCAGAATGTCCACAAAACAAAGCTTGTGTTAATCAGAAATGTAACGATCCTTGTCCTGGAACATGTGGTCTTAACGCAAAATGTCAAGTGATCAATCATAGTCCAATCTGTAGTTGTACTCCTGGTTACACTGGTGATCCATTTACTCGATGTTATCCGATACCACGTGAGTCTCCTTAACCGAGTCGGTGTTCCCCTTTATTCATCCCTTTCTGTTATTAGCGCCACCTCCTGTAGTGGTTGAAGAGCCTGTCCGTGACCCTTGCATACCATCACCTTGTGGTGCTAACAGCCAATGTCGTAACATCAACGGCTCTCCTTCTTGCTCTTGTTTACCAAACTACGTGGGAAGTCCACCAAACTGCAAACCTGAATGTACCATCAACTCGGAGTGTCCAAGTAATTTGGCTTGTATTAGAGAGAAATGTAGGGATCCTTGCCCTGGATCATGTGGTTCCGGTGCCCAATGCAGTGTCATCAACCATACTCCTATTTGTACTTGCCCTGAAGGCTACACTGGCGATCCCTTCAGTTATTGTCAACCCAAACCACAAGAAGTCGAACCGGTTAAAACCGACCCTTGTAACCCATCGCCTTGTGGACCTAATGGTCAATGTAACAACGGAGTTTGTACTTGTTTACCCGAATATCAAGGTGATCCGTATAGAGGATGTAGACCTGAGTGTGTCCTAAACAATGATTGTCCACGAGATAAAGCTTGTCTGAGAAACAAATGTCAAGACCCCTGTCCTGGCACTTGCGGCCAGAATGCAGAATGTTCGGTTGTTAACCACATACCGATTTGTACTTGTATTCAAGGTTACAGCGGAAATGCATTCGTTTTATGTAACCCTATTTCAGGTACTTCATTAATTCTTTGAATTTAGTGGTTCTAAAACAAATTTTTAGCACCAGTGATCACAAATCCATGCAACCCATCTCCCTGTGGCCCTAATAGTCAATGCAGGGCTGTCAATGGCCAATCTGTCTGTTCTTGTGTCCCTGGATTTAGTCCCCCAACTTGTAGACCAGAATGTGTTACAAGTGCTGAGTGTGCCCTTAACCGAGCCTGTGTCAACCAGAAATGTATTGATCCTTGCCCTGGCACATGTGGCTTGAATGCCAAATGCCAGATTGTAAATCACAATCCGATTTGCAGCTGTCCTCCTGATTATACTGGTGATCCCTTCGTTAGATGTCAACCAAAACGTAACATCCACAAATAGTGTAATTCTTGACTTATGAGACTATTTTAGCGCAAGAAGAACCAGTGGTTACAAATCCGTGCCAACCATCACCTTGTGGCCCCAATTCACAATGCAAAGAAATAAACGGTTCACCTTCTTGCTCTTGTTTACCCGAATTTATCGGATCGCCACCCAATTGTCGACCAGAGTGTGTCAGTAATAGCGAATGTGCAAATCATTTAGCTTGTATCAATCAAAAATGTAAAGATCCTTGTCCTGGAATTTGTGGCCACAATGCTGAATGTCGAGTAGTAAGTCACACACCGAACTGTGTTTGCGTGACTGGTTACGTCGGAAATCCATTCGTTCAATGTTTGCCACCATTACGTAAGAACTTATCAAATTTGTGATTCAAAGATTGCAATTTTTTGCTTTAGCTTCTCCACCTCAAGAAGTGATAACTCCATGTTCACCTTCTCCCTGTGGTGCCAATGCACAGTGTAGGGAGCAGAACAAAGCAGGAGCATGCATTTGTTTGCCTGATTTTATCGGAAATCCTTATGAAGGTTGCAGACCCGAATGTACCCTTAACTCTGACTGCCCTTCCAACAAAGCCTGTGTCAATCAAAAATGTAAAGATCCATGTCCTGGAACGTGTGGCCAAAATGCCAATTGTCAAGTTATCAATCATTTGCCTTCTTGTACTTGCATTCCTGGTTACACAGGTGATCCCTTCAGATATTGTAACCTACCACCAGAACGTAAGACTTTCTTAATTGTTTACTTTGTTCACACAAAAAGAACTTTACAGCTGTTAAAGATGAAACACCTACAAATCCATGCCAACCAAGCCCTTGTGGCCCTAACAGTCAATGTCGAGAAGTTAACGGACAAGCGGTTTGTTCGTGTTTGCCCAATTATGTTGGCAGTCCCCCTGGTTGTCGCCCCGAATGCGTAGTTAGTTCAGAATGTGCCCAAAACAAAGCTTGTGTTAATCAGAAATGTGTTGACCCTTGTCCTGGCACTTGTGGCCTTAATGCCAATTGCCAAGTCATTAATCATAGTCCGATTTGTAGCTGCCAAGCAGGATTCACCGGTGATCCTTTCAGTCGTTGCTTCCCCATCCCACGTAAGACACAACAAATTCACATTCAAACACTTATTTACGAAAAAATTATAGCACCTCCTCCAATCCAAGAAAGCGAACCTGTTCGAAACCCTTGCGTACCATCACCGTGTGGACCTAATTCGGAATGTCGTGATATTGGAGGAAATCCCTCTTGTTCGTGTTTGCCAAACTATAGCGGAAGTCCTCCAAATTGTCGACCTGAATGTACCATAAACTCGGAATGTCCAAGTAATTTGGCTTGCATTAGAGAGAAATGTAGGGATCCTTGTCCTGGGTCGTGTGGTTCTGGTGCCCTGTGCAGTGTTATCAACCATACTCCCATTTGTACGTGTCCTGAGGGCTACACTGGTGACCCATTTAGTTACTGCCAACCCAAACCACAAGAAGTAGAACCGGTTAAAACCGATCCTTGTAACCCATCACCTTGTGGTCCCAATACACAATGTAACAACGGAGTTTGTACTTGTTTACCTGAATATCAAGGTGACCCCTATAGAGGATGCAGACCTGAGTGTGTCTTAAACAATGATTGTCCAAGAGATAAAACCTGTATTAGTAACAAATGTAAGGATCCTTGTCCTGGAACGTGTGGACAAAACGCCGAATGTTCGGTAATCAATCACATTCCAATATGTTCATGCATCACCGGCTACACTGGAAATGCATTCGTGCTTTGCTCCCCTATTCCCGGTTAGTTAACCCAAATTCTGTCCAATTTTACAATAATTAGAAAATTTCAGCACCTATGGTCACAAATCCGTGCCAACCATCGCCCTGTGGCCCCAACAGCCAATGCAGGGTTGTAAACAACCAAGCAGTTTGTTCTTGCGTCCCTGGTTATTTGGGTAGTCCCCCCTCATGTCGACCTGAATGTGTCACAAGTCCTGAATGTTCCCTTGACAAGGCTTGTGTTAACCAAAAATGTATCAATCCGTGTCCCGGAACTTGCGGAATTAACGCTTTGTGTCAAGTAGTCAATCATAATCCGATCTGTACTTGCCCTCAAGGCCAAACAGGAGACCCGTTCACTCGATGCACTACAAGTATGACAAAAAATTCGCAAAAAAATTGTGTCTAACACTGGATTTTAGTTGTCCCTATCCAAGAAGAACCAACAAACCCGTGCCAACCGTCCCCTTGTGGCCCCAATTCTCAATGTAAAGATATAAACGGTTCGCCATCTTGTTCGTGTTTGCCGGAGTTCACCGGGTCGCCCCCTAATTGCCGCCCGGAATGCGTCAGTAATAGCGAGTGCGCAAACCACTTAGCTTGCATAAATCAGAAATGTAAAGATCCTTGCCCTGGCACTTGTGGCCAAAATGCTGAATGTAGGGTCATAAGTCACACACCGAACTGTGTTTGCTTACCGGGGTACATCGGTGACCCTTTCTCGCAATGTACCATACCAACACGTAAGCCATTACGCTTTTTATTATTAGCTGCTCAACCAAAACGCTTTCACTACTACTAATCTTAAAATAACGTCATTTGAACCCGATTATATTTCAGCTCCACCCTCTGAAACCATTTTGCCTTGTTCCCCGTCACCATGCGGTGCTAATGCCGTTTGTAAAGAACGCAACGGAGCTGGATCGTGTACTTGCCTCCCTGATTATATCGGTAACCCTTACGAAGGATGCAGACCTGAGTGTGTCTTGAACACTGACTGTCCCTCCAACAAAGCCTGTGTAAGAAATAAATGTACCGACCCTTGCCCTGGAACGTGTGGCCAAAACGCCCAATGCACTGTTGTTAACCATTTACCTCAATGCACTTGCATACTGGGATATACAGGAGATCCATTCCGATATTGTAGTGTACCCCCAGAACGTAAGACTTTAAAATCTAACCCAAACTGTATTAATAAGCCGAATTTAGCCCCCAAACAGGAAGAACCGACAAACCCGTGCCAACCTAGCCCTTGCGGTCCTAATAGTCAGTGTAGAGAAGTCAATAACCAAGCAGTTTGTTCATGTTTGCCCAATTATATTGGAAGTCCACCAAACTGTCGACCTGAATGCGTAGTCAGTTCGGAATGTCCGCAAAACAAAGCTTGCGTTAACCAAAAATGTGCTGATCCTTGCCCCGGAACATGCGGTCTTAATGCTAGATGTGAAGTGATCAATCATAGCCCGATTTGTAGTTGTCAGACGGGCTATACCGGAGATCCATTTACCAGATGTTATCCTATACCCCGTAAGAAGCTTTTAACCTCGCGAAAAAACTGAACTCATCTTGTTATTTTAGCACCACCGTTAGAACCGGTCCAACCAGTAATTACCGACCCTTGTGTACCTTCACCCTGTGGCCCTAATAGTCAATGTAGAAACATCGGTGGTAATCCTTCATGCTCATGCCTTCCGGAATTCACCGGAAGTCCGCCAAACTGTCGCCCCGAATGTACTATAAATTCAGAATGTCCAAGTAATTTGGCTTGTATTAGACAGAAATGTCGTGATCCTTGTCCTGGATCGTGTGGTTCCGGTGCCCAATGTAGTGTTATCAACCATACTCCAACTTGTACTTGCCCAGAAGGCTACACTGGTGACCCATTCTCTTATTGCCATGTTAAACCACAAGAAGTAGAACCGGTTAAAACCGATCCTTGTAACCCAACACCTTGTGGACCTAATGCTCAATGTAACAACGGAGTTTGTACTTGTTTACCTGAATATCAAGGTGATCCATATAGAGGATGTAGACCCGAATGTGTCCTTAGCAATGATTGTCCGCGAGACAAAGCTTGCATTAGAAATAAGTGTCAAGATCCTTGCCCTGGCACTTGTGGCCAGAACGCTGAATGTACTGTAATAAACCACATACCGACCTGCACCTGCATTCAAGGCTTTTCGGGCAATGCTTTTGTTTTATGTTCACCAATTCCAGGTAATTGTAAAATAAACCCGAATAAACATAAAACTAATCACCAAAATGTAGCTCCAGCCCCTGTCAACCCATGTAGCCCTTCGCCATGCGGTCCTAATAGCCAATGTCGCGAAGTAAACGGCCAGGCTGTATGTTCCTGTGTTCCCGGTTATATCGGAAGTCCACCAATGTGTCGCCCTGAGTGTGTCACCAATTCCGAATGTGCCCTAAATCAAGCATGTGTCAATCAAAAATGTATTGATCCTTGCCCTGGAACATGTGGTCTTGGAGCCCTTTGTCAGGTTGTTAGTCATAATCCGATTTGTAGTTGCCCACCGAGACATACCGGAGATCCCTTCACTCGATGTTCACCCATCAGGGGTAAAAAACCCGACACAACCAAAAGTAGTACCCTTCATGTTGTTATTACAGAAGAGCCACCTGTTGTACCCACAAATCCGTGCCAACCATCACCTTGTGGAGCTAATAGTCAATGCAGGGACGTTGGCGGATCTCCATCGTGTTCTTGTTTACCTGAATTTATAGGAACGCCGCCGAATTGCCGACCTGAATGTGTTAGTAATAGTGAATGTCCAAACCATTTGGCGTGCATAAATCAGAAATGTAAAGATCCTTGCCCTGGTACTTGCGGGCAAAACACCGAATGCCGTGTTGTAAGTCATGCACCGAATTGTGTTTGTTTGAGCGGTTTTGTCGGTAATCCTTTCACGGCGTGTACTCAACAAGTTACTCCACCTGTTGTTGAGCGACCTACACCTTGCTTACCATCACCATGCGGTGTTAATGCTATTTGTCGTGAACAAAACGGAGCAGGTGCTTGTGTTTGTTTACCAGAACATGTAGGAAACCCCTACGAAGGCTGTAGACCCGAATGTGTCCTTAATTCCGACTGTCCATCAAACAAAGCTTGTGTCAATCAAAAGTGTAAAGACCCATGTCCTGGAACATGCGGCCAAAATGCCCAATGTCAAGTCATCAATCATTTGCCATCCTGTACTTGCATTCCTGGCTATACGGGAGATCCCTTCAGATATTGCAATCTGCCACCACAACGTAAGAAATCAAACAATTTAAATCATTCCTTATTAAATTTTTATCAACAAACAGCTGTCGTAAATGAAGAACCTAAAAATCCGTGCCAACCCTCACCATGTGGACCTAATAGTCAATGTCGTGAAGTTAACGGACAAGCTGTCTGTTCTTGTTTACCAAATTATGTAGGAAGTCCCCCAGGATGTCGTCCTGAATGTGTAGTTAGCTCCGAATGTGCCCTAAACAAAGCCTGTGTTAACCAAAAATGTGTGGACCCTTGCCCTGGCACCTGTGGCTTAAATGCCAAATGCCAAGTTATCAATCATAGCCCGATTTGTAGTTGCCAATCCGGTTATACGGGTGATCCCTTCACTAGATGTTACCCGATTCCACGTAAGAAACCCACTTTCTGCATAAAAACATCATCTTATTCAAAGTTTTAGCACCCCCGGTCGAACCACGTCCAGTACCTACAAACCCATGTATACCATCACCATGTGGACCTAACAGTCAATGCAGAGACGTCGGTGGGTCTCCATCTTGTTCCTGCCTACCTAACTTTATAGGAAGTCCACCAAACTGTCGACCGGAATGTACCATCAATTCGGAATGTTCCAGTAATTTGGCTTGTATTAGAGAGAAATGTAGAGACCCTTGCCCAGGCTCGTGTGGAGCAAACGCTCGATGTGAGGTCATAAATCACACCCCCATTTGCACATGTCCTGAAGGATTCACCGGTGACCCATTCACGAACTGCTATCCCAAACCACAAGAAGCAGAACCGGTTAAAACCGATCCATGCAACCCATCACCATGTGGTGCTAACGCACAGTGTGACAATGGAATTTGCACTTGTCTGCCCGAATATCAAGGAGATCCATATAGAGGTTGTAGACCCGAATGTGTTCTTAATAATGACTGCCCAAGAGATAAAGCCTGTATTAGAAACAAATGTAAAGACCCATGCCCTGGTACTTGTGGCCAAAACGCCGAATGTAGTGTCATTAATCACGTACCGACTTGTACTTGCATCCAAGGATACGTTGGCAATGCTTTTGTTTTGTGTAACCGAATTCCAGAACCGGTGCCTAAAAACCCATGCAACCCTTCACCCTGTGGCCCCAATAGCCAATGTAGAGAAATAAACGGTCAAGCTGTATGTTCCTGCGTCCCAGGTTTCATCGGAAGCCCTCCAACTTGTCGACCTGAATGTGTTACAAGCTCGGAATGTTCCCTAAATGAGGCTTGTGTGAACCAGAAATGTATAGACCCATGTCCTGGCACTTGCGGACTTAACGCCAGATGCCAAGTCGTCAACCATAACCCAATTTGTAGTTGCCTACAAGGTCAAACTGGCGATCCCTTCACTCGATGTGTCCCTATCGTCGAAGAAGCACCACCAACTCCCACAAATCCATGTCAACCATCACCCTGTGGTCCCAATTCGCAATGTAGGGAAGTAGGTGGAGCTCCATCTTGTTCGTGTTTGCCCGAATTTATCGGAACACCGCCCAATTGCCGACCTGAATGTGTCAGTAATAGCGAATGTGCAAACCATTTGGCTTGTATTAATAAAAAATGTAAGGATCCTTGCCCTGGTACTTGTGGCCAAAATGCCGAATGTAGAGTCATAAGTCACACACCAAACTGTGTGTGTGTTTCGGGATATGGGGGCAATCCGTTTGTTCAGTGTATTCAAAAAGTCGTGACTCCGATTCAAGAAAGACCCACTCCTTGTATACCATCTCCATGTGGTCCTAACGCGGTTTGTAGAGAACAAAACGGAGCTGGGGCTTGTACTTGCCTGCCTGAATACATTGGAAATCCTTACGAAGGATGTAGACCAGAATGTACCCTCAATTCTGACTGTCCCTCAAACAAGGCTTGCATCAAAAATAAATGTATGGATCCTTGTCCAGGAACGTGCGGTTTGAATGCCGATTGCCAAGTTATTAATCATTTGCCGTCTTGTACTTGCCGACCGGGTTATACAGGAGATCCCTTCAGATATTGTAATGTTAAACCACCACCCCGTAAGACTTTTAATTAATTACTATTCACTCTTTACTAATCCCTGTTATTTAGCACTTGAAGAAGAACCTAAAAACCCATGCCACCCTAGTCCTTGTGGCCCTAATAGCCAATGTCGCGAAGTTAACGGTCAGGCTGTTTGTTCTTGTTTGCCCAATTATGTTGGAAGCCCACCAGGTTGTAGACCAGAATGTGTGGTTAGTTCGGAATGTGCCCAAAACAAAGCTTGTGTTAATCAGAAATGTGTTGACCCTTGTCCTGGCACTTGTGGCCTAAATGCCAAATGCCAAGTTATTAATCATAGTCCAATTTGTAGTTGCCAGGAGCAATACACTGGTGATCCATTCACTCGATGCTACCCTATCCCACGTAAGATTTTTACTTGTCTTGCAACCATATCTTGATTAATTATATTTTAGCACCTCCAATTGAACCAGTAGTGGTCTCTAACCCATGTGTTCCAAACCCTTGTGGTCCCAATTCACAATGTAGAGACGTCGGTGGAGTACCATCCTGTTCGTGTTTGGCCACTTATGTCGGAAGTCCACCCAATTGCCGACCTGAATGTACCATAAATTCGGAATGTGCAAGCAATTTAGCTTGTATGAGAGAGAAATGTAGGGATCCTTGCCCTGGATCATGTGGTTCTGGTGCCCAATGCAGTGTCATAAACCATACTCCTATTTGTACTTGCCCTGAGGGCTATACTGGTAACCCATTCAGTTACTGTCAGCCTAAACCACAAGAGCTTGAACCGGTTAAAAACGACCCATGTAACCCATCGCCTTGTGGACCTAATGCCCAATGTAACAACGGAGTTTGTACTTGCATACCTGAATACCAAGGTGACCCATATCGAGGCTGTAGACCAGAATGTGTTCTTAACACTGACTGTTCAAAAGACAAGGCTTGTATTAGAAACAAATGTGTTGACCCTTGCCCTGGAACATGTGGCCAAAACGCTGAATGTGCTGTGATTAACCATATTCCAACTTGTAGTTGCATTCAAGGTTACACCGGCAATGCCTTTGTTCTATGTACCAAAATACCGGAGAAAATTCCGCAAAACCCATGCAATCCATCACCTTGTGGTCCCAACAGTCAATGTAGAGAAATAAACGGCCAAGCGGTCTGTTCTTGTGTCCCTGGTTACATTGGAAGTCCCCCAACTTGTCGACCTGAATGTGTCACAAGCTCGGAATGTTCGCTAAATGAGGCTTGTGTCAACCAGAAATGTATAGATCCTTGCCCTGGCACTTGCGGTCTAAACGCCAAATGTCAAGTCGTGAACCACAACCCGATTTGTAGCTGTCCACCCAAGTACACCGGAGATCCGTTCACTCGATGCTCACCCATAATTGAGGAACCACCAACTGTTCCAACCAACCCATGTCAACCATCGCCTTGCGGCCCAAATGCTCAATGTAAAGAGATAAATGGGTCACCATCGTGTTCTTGTCTACCAGAATTTATCGGATCGCCACCTAACTGTCGACCAGAATGTGTTAGTAATAGCGAATGCGCAAACCACTTGGCTTGCATCAACCAAAAATGCAAAGACCCCTGTCCTGGAATTTGCGGTCAAAATGCTGAATGTCGTGTTGTGAGCCATACACCGAACTGTGTTTGTATTCAAGGCTACGTTGGCAACCCCTTCAGTAGTTGCCAACCCTATGAACCGCCAAAACCAGCTGAACCTGTCAATCCGTGTTTCCCATCACCTTGTGGTGCTAATGCTGTTTGTAGGCAAAGAAATGATGTAGGGTCTTGTAGCTGTAGCCCTGATTACGTTGGAAATCCTTACGAAGGGTGCCGACCCGAATGTGTTCTAAATTCAGATTGTCCCTCGAATAAAGCTTGTATTAGAAATAAATGTATGGATCCTTGTCCTGGAACGTGTGGCCAAAACGCCGAATGCCAAGTTATCAATCATTTAGCATCGTGTATTTGTATTCCGGGATATACAGGCGACCCGTTCAGATTTTGCAATGTCATACCGCCACCACAACAACGTAAGACTGATCATAGATCCCTTAGAAAATCATAACTTGCAATTTTATAGCCGTTGAAGAACCTAAAAACCCTTGCCAACCCTCGCCCTGTGGTCCTAACAGCCAATGTCGCGAAGTTAACGGCCAAGCAGTTTGTTCTTGTTTGCCTAATTATATCGGTAGTCCACCAGGTTGCCGACCTGAATGTGTCACAAGCTCGGAATGTGCCCTAAATAAAGCTTGTTCAAACCAGAAATGTATAGACCCTTGCCCTGGCACTTGCGGAATTAATGCTAGATGCGAAGTTATTAATCATAGTCCGATTTGTAGCTGTCAAACAGGTCACACTGGTGATCCTTTCTCGCGATGTTACCCAATACCACGTAAGACTTTTCTCCAAATTAAGGTAACCCCAAATCAAAATTTTATTTCAGTTTCGCCAAAAGAACCCCCACCGCCACCAACAAACCCATGTGTGCCATCCCCTTGTGGACCTAATTCGATTTGTCAAGATATTAACGGCGCACCTTCGTGTTCTTGTATCACCAATTATATTGGTACACCTCCAAATTGTCGCCCCGAGTGTACTATAAATTCAGAATGTCCAAGTAATTTGGCTTGTATTAGGGAGAAATGTCGTGACCCATGTCCAGGATCGTGTGGTTCTCAAGCACGTTGCACTGTTATAAACCACACACCCATATGTACCTGCCCAGAGGGCTTCACTGGTAATCCTTTCGATTCTTGCATATTCAAATTAGAGGAGCCACCTAAACCACAAGACCCATGTAATCCATCGCCATGTGGAGCTAACGCACAGTGTAACAATGGCATTTGCACTTGTCTCCCCGAATATCAAGGTGACCCTTACCAAGGATGTCGGCCTGAATGTGTCCTCAATAGCGACTGTGCAAGAGACAAGGCTTGTATCAGAAATAAATGTGTTGATCCTTGTCCTGGAACGTGTGGCCAAAATGCCGAATGTGCTGTCATCAACCATATTCCGACCTGTACTTGCATTCAAGGCTACACAGGCAATGCTTTTGTTTTATGCACCAGAATACCGGAGAAAACCCCACAAAATCCATGCAACCCATCACCTTGTGGTCCCAATAGTCAATGTAGGGAAATAAACGGCCAAGCGGTCTGTTCTTGTGTCCCAGGTTTTATTGGAAGTCCTCCAACTTGTCGACCTGAATGTGTTTCAAGTTCAGAATGTCTTTTAACCCAAGCTTGTGTCAACCAGAAATGTATAGACCCTTGTCCTGGTACATGCGGTTTAGGTGCTAAATGCGAGGTCAGGAATCATAACCCGATCTGTAGCTGTCCAAATAGATACACCGGTGATCCATTCACACGTTGCTTACCAATTGGTAAGTTTCACAACTTAGTGTCAACAAGAATACACCAAAAAAAAAATAATTTTAGTTGAACCACCTCCAGCACCTGTAAACCCATGCCAACCATCCCCATGTGGTTCAAACTCACAATGTAGGGAAATAAACGGTTCACCATCTTGTTCCTGTCTAGCTGACTTTATCGGAAGTCCACCTAATTGTCGCCCGGAATGTGTTAGTAATAGTGAATGTGCAAACCACTTGGCTTGCATAAATCAAAAATGTAAAGACCCTTGTCCTGGTACTTGTGGCCAAAATGCTGAATGTCGGGTTATAAGCCACACACCTAATTGCGTTTGTCTCCCTGGCTACTCTGGGAATGCGTTCCAACGTTGTATCCTTGCGGAAGGTACAATTCGGGTGATTTTTATAGTGTAAAGTCTCACAAAACCTGTTTTAGAACCAAGACCACCCCCAGCTGACCAAATCAACCCATGCGTACCATCCCCATGTGGTACTAATGCCATTTGTAAGGAATATAACGGTGCCGGTTCTTGCGTTTGTTTACCGGAACATATTGGCAATCCTTATGAAGGGTGTCGACCTGAATGTGTCCTTAACAGTGATTGCCCCTCAAACAAAGCTTGCATTAACCAGAAATGTAGAGATCCTTGTCCCGGAACTTGTGGACAGAACGCTGACTGTCAAGTTATCAATCATCTACCATCCTGTACTTGTATTCCAGGATTTACCGGTGATCCCTTCCGGTTCTGCAACAGAATCCCTCCACCTAAAATCCCAGAACCACCCAAAAACCCTTGCCAACCAAGTCCTTGTGGCCCTAACAGCCAATGTAGAGAAAATAATGGCCAAGCGATCTGTTCTTGTCTCCCCAACTACATCGGTAGTCCCCCAGGATGTCGCCCTGAGTGTGTTGTCAGTTCCGAATGTGCCCTAACTAAAGCCTGTGTTAACCAAAAATGCGTTGACCCTTGCCCTGGAACTTGCGGTCTAAGTGCTAGATGTGAGGTTATCAACCATAGCCCGATTTGTAGTTGCGAAAATGGCTTTACTGGTGATCCCTTTACTCGCTGCTACCCCATTCCACGTAATACATTTTTTATCTAAGATGGGTCACGTCTAATGTTACATTTGCAGCTCCTCCACGTGAAAACCCCAAACCACCCATTATCAACCCTTGTGTACCATCCCCATGTGGGCAAAACGCCCAATGTAGAGACGTCGGAGGCACACCTTCGTGTTCTTGCCTACCTAACTTTATCGGAAGTCCACCCAACTGTCGCCCTGAATGTACCATAAATTCAGAATGTCCGAGCAATTTGGCTTGCATTAACGCCAAATGTAGGGACCCTTGTCCTGGCTCTTGCGGAATCGGTGCCCTTTGTGAGGTCAGAAACCATAATCCTAATTGTAGGTGTCCCCCAGGTTATGAAGGTGACTCGTTTGTTGCTTGTCACCCGGTACCACCCCCAGTACAACGTAAGTCCCAATTGTGATAAACAAATCAGGTATTGTAAATAATTGTTTTAGCACCCCCAAAAACCGATCCTTGCTATCCCAATCCTTGCGGACCTAATGCAAGATGTAATGAAGGTGTGTGTACTTGCATTCCTGAGTACCATGGCGACCCCTATAGAGAGTGTAGACCCGAATGTGTCCTAAATGCAGATTGCCCTAGAGATAAGGCTTGTGTTCGAAATAAATGTGTTGATCCCTGTCCTGGTACATGTGGCACCAATGCCGAATGTACTGTTTTCAATCACTTCCCATCTTGTAATTGCATCCAAGGATATACAGGAGATCCATTCCTTGGTTGTCGCAAAATCGAAAGTAATACACCTATATTTGGTAAAACAGTGTAATAAATTTTACTAATTGTAGCCCCTCCACCACAAAACCCATGTAGCCCATCACCCTGCGGCCCCAATAGCCAATGTCGTGACATAAACGGCCAAGCGGTTTGTTCTTGCCTCATGGGCTATATCGGAAGCCCCCCGTCTTGTCGCCCCGAATGCGTCAGTAGTTCCGACTGTCAACAAAACAAAGCGTGTCTCAACCAGAAATGCGTCGACCCTTGCCCTGGCACTTGCGGTATTAACGCCCTTTGCCAAGTAGTTAACCACAATCCGATCTGTACTTGCCCACCGCAATACTCAGGCGATCCTTTCATACAATGCAAAGTGATAATCGGTACGTTTTATCTCTTAGTTGACACCCATTGGCTAAAATTTAGTTTAATAGTGAAAGAAGAACCGGTTAAGCAACCCACAAACCCATGCGTACCTTCATCTTGTGGCCCTAATGCTAAATGTGAGCCCACGCAAGCTGGAACAGCAAAATGTACCTGTTTGCCCAACTATTTCGGTGCTCCACCTAATTGTAGACCGGAATGTGTGACCCATAACGACTGCGCGAAAAACCTGGCGTGTGTTAACTTGAAATGTCAAGATCCTTGCCCCGGCTCTTGCGGACTAAACGCTCGTTGTGTCGTTGTTAATCATGTTCCTAATTGTCTCTGTCTGGATAACTATGTAGGAGATCCTTTCACTCTTTGCACTCTAAAGCCACGTAAGCACTTTTCATTTTTCTTCCTCTTGCTATATTTAAATATTACAAGTACTAATTAAATTTTGTGCACAGAACCAACACTACCACCACCATCAGCTAAAGAAGACCCATGTTATCCATCGCCATGTGGCCCCAATGCCAGATGCCGGGTTGAAAACAACTATGCCATTTGCGAATGTTTACCAGAATACCACGGCAATCCTTATGAAAACTGCCGACCGGAATGTATAACCAACTCCGACTGTCCCATGAACAGGGCCTGTATTAGAAATAAGTGTCAGGACCCATGCCCAGGCACTTGCGGTATTAATGCCCTTTGTACCGTCACCAACCACGTACCAATATGCTCATGTCCTGAAAAATACGAAGGAGACGCTTTTAGAATCTGCAATCAAATCATGGGTAAGTACCAGAATTGAGTCCCTTGAAATGTGACTTAATTTTCGTAAAAATAGAACGTCAACCGACCCCTGACCCGTGCAACCCATCACCTTGTGGAATTAACACTGTATGCCGGGCGTCCGGACAAAATGCCATTTGTGAATGCCTTCCTGGGTTCTTCGGTACTGCTTCAGTCGGTGGTTGTCGTCCTGAATGTACCATCAGTGCTGATTGTCCCCGAGACAAAGCTTGCGTCAACACGAAATGCATCGATCCTTGTCCCGGAGTTTGCGGTTTCAATGCTATTTGTCAAGTTATCAACCACAGTCCTGTATGTAGCTGTCCACCACCTCTAATGGGAGATCCGTTCACACTATGTAAAGAACAACCGGAACCGCCAAGAGACCCTTGCAACCCTTCACCGTGCCGTCTCAATGGCCAATGCCGCGTCATCAACGGAGTTGCAAGTTGCATCTACCCCGAATGTGTAATCAATCAAGATTGTCCCCGAGACAAGGCTTGTTACAACCAGAAATGTCGCGATCCTTGCCGAGATGCCTGTGGTTTGAATGCCTTGTGTCAGGCTATTAACCACAAAGCTGTGTGTTCATGCCCTCCCAATTATGTAGGGTCACCTGAGGTGCAATGCCGACTCCGCGATGTCGAAGTACCCAAACCTAAACCTGAATGTCTGCAAGATGCGGATTGTACTAACGACAAGGCTTGTATCAACGAACACTGTCAGAATCCTTGTCTTGCTACTCCAGGAATTTGTGGAGAAAATTCCGACTGTCGTCCACAAGCCCACCGTGCGGTGTGTATCTGCCGCGAAGGCTACACTGGAAACGCCCAAAGGGCCTGTTTCGAAATCGGTTGCCGGTCTGACAGTGACTGTCCCCCAATCCAAGCTTGTATCAATCGGGAATGCGTCGACCCTTGCTCCTTCACTTCCTGTGGCCTTAATGCTCTTTGTAGAGCTGATTCCAACCACAAAGCCCGGTGTTATTGCCCTGATAACTTCCGAGGAAACCCACTAGTGAGATGTGAAAGGCCTGAATGTTTACAAAACGAGGATTGTCCCTACAACTTGGCTTGCCGGAATGAAAGATGTGAAGATCCGTGCAATTGCGGAGCTAGAGCTGTGTGTCGTGTAACCAACCATCAAGCACAGTGCTCCTGCCCACCTGGATACACCGGAAATCCCACAGTTGAATGCCGATTTGTACCACCGGAAAAACAACCACAGTGTAAAATGGACGCCGACTGTGCGAGCAAACTTGCTTGCTTCAGCGGCGTTTGCAAAAATCCCTGTTTGGAGACGAAACCTTGTGGGGCAAACGCGGAATGTTCTGTGGTAGATACGCTTCCATTGAGGACCATGTCCTGTTTATGCTTGCCAGGATATGTAGGTGATGCAGATATTGAGTGTAAGAAAGGTAAATCAAACTTCTTTATTCTCAAAATTTTAATCATCAGACTAATCAAAACCAACATTGTAAACTTTTGCAGGTGATTAATCCTAAATCCCTATACCTTAAACAGCAACACATTGTTTTTAATTGTAAATAAGTTGAGACAATTTGATTAATTCTGTGTTGTGTAGCTCCAACTGAAGAACCGGGTTGCAAGAGCAACGACGAGTGTGCCTTGAGTGAGGCTTGCATCAACCGAAACTGTGTCAACCCTTGTGCTGTTGGCAACCCTTGTGACCTCACGGCTGAATGTAAACCAACCAATCATAAGGCCGTTTGCAGATGCCCGGCTGGACTTATCGGAAATCCATTTATCAAATGTTACGAAGGTACCTACTCCTCTACTAATATAATCCGAATTTGTTCCAAACACCTTTTCTATTTTATAGAACCTAAAACCAAACCGGTATGCACCTCAGACTCTGAGTGCACCAATGACAAGTCTTGCACCAACCAGCGATGCCAAGACCCTTGTGTCATATCCAATCCATGTGGTACCAACGCCCAATGCAAGACAAGTCTCCACAGACCGAATTGTATCTGCCCCGATGGATGGGGTGGAAACCCACAAATTGCTTGCTACAAACGTAAGTAACATTTCTAGCTCAAAAACTAGTTATTTATTTTTCTAATCTGTAGCCGAGTGTACCACCAACGATGACTGTCCATACAACAAAGCTTGCATCAACGAAAACTGTCTTGACCCATGCGCCACGCAATCCTGCGGCCGAGGTGCACAATGCCTTGTCCAGAACCATCGTGCTTCTTGCCAATGTCCTGCCGGTATGCAAGGAAACCCCTTAGTGGCTTGTATCGCCGGCATCTGTCAATACAACGAGGACTGTGCCGACCATGAAGCTTGTGATAGACTCAACCGAGTTTGTCGCCCCGTCTGTGATGAGGACACTTGTGCCGAAACTGCAACTTGCCTTGGCCAACAACACCAAGCCAAATGTCATTGTCCACCCGGAACTATCGGAAACCCATACGTCGAGTGCACCGGAGAGAGACGACCGGTCCCCGAACCGGAATGTCGCTCAGACTCTGACTGTTCCTCGCAACTGGCTTGTATTAACCAACTCTGCAAAAATCCATGTGCTAACGGAAATGTTTGCACCAAAGACCAGGAATGTAAAGTTTTGGATACGTTGCCTCTAAGGACAGTTTTATGTCAATGTCCAACTGACACCATAGCTGATAGTTTAGGAAATTGCAAGCCGATCAAAGCCCAACCTGAATGTCGCGTCGACTCGGATTGTAGCGACAGTGAGAAATGCATTTCGAACAGTTGTGTTGAAGCTTGTAGGGTCGATACCTGCGGAGTAAACGCCCTGTGTAACTCCATTCACCATCAAGCTATCTGTACTTGCGCTCCGGGTTATACCGGAAATCCGCACTTCGAGTGTACAAACAGTGAGTCTTACCCTGTTCTCCGAATGACAAAATTTTAAATTTGTGATTACAGTCCCGAGGATACCGCCACGACCCATCCCCGAATGTTACACCGAGGAGGATTGCCCCTATGACAAAACTTGCAGAAATGACATTTGTGTTAACCCATGTATTGATGGTAAACCATGCGCTGTTGGTGCTTTCTGTTCCGTTGACAACCATAGGGCCAAATGTGCATGTCCAGCTGGGTATGAAGGTCAACCTACAATCAAATGTATACCTCGTAAGTTCTCAAAATCGTAAAAAGTGTCAATTATTGACAAAACAATTTATAGCTCTTGGTCCTACTGTTGGTTGCACCTCAAACTCGGAATGTGCCCAAAGTGAGTCATGCGTCAACGCCCTGTGCGTAAGCCCATGCAACTGTGGCCCCCATTCCGAATGTAAGGTAGTCAACCACTATCCTATTTGCTACTGCTTGCCTGGGTACTCCGGAAATCCACAAACCGGATGTGTGAAACGTAAGTTTTCACCTAAATCGTGTTAAATTTGCTAAAATCAAAATTTTCTAGTTGGTTGTCAGTCAGATAGCGAGTGCAGCAACGACAAACAATGCTACAATGGCCAATGCATCAACCCATGTATTTTGGGCGACCCGTGCGCCCGCAATGCCGAATGCTACGGAAACAACCACAAAGCCGCATGTCGGTGCCCCGCCGGCTACTCAGGCAACCCTTTCGATCGGTGCCAACGCATCGAGTGTCACACCGACACCGATTGTCCCAACAACCGAGCTTGTATCGAACAACGTTGCGTCGACCCTTGCTCCAACATCGCGAACCCTCCATGCGCTCAAAACGCCATCTGTTATGCCCAAAACCACGCCGCTGGGTGCTTATGCCCCGAACATTTGCCTGAAGGAAACCCCTTGTCGTACTGTATGGCCCCAGCATTGGTACCCGGCCGTCCCGAGTGCGAACTCGACATAGACTGTCCGAGCAAACTGGCATGTATTCGGAACAAGTGTGTCAATCCATGCGAAAGCCTCTCGCCGTGTCACAGGACGGCGCATTGCAGCGTCCTCGATACGGTACCTGTGAGAACCATGATTTGTACTTGTCCAGAAGGATGGGTGCCTAATGACAACGGGGAGTGCCACGCAGTTGTGGTCCCGATTCCACCTGGATGTACCAGTGATAACGATTGTCCGAGTAATGAAGCTTGTATCAATAGATTGTGCCGCAACCCGTGCGATTGTGGTACCCATGCTGCTTGTTTCGTGCAGAACCACCGCCCGATTTGTTCCTGTGAGGAGGGTTATGAAGGAAACCCCAATATCGCATGTCGTCTAGCTGGATGCAGGACCGATTCGGAATGCGAGTCGGGCAAGTCGTGCATCAACGGCAATTGCATCAACCCTTGTTTAGTCAAAGATCCTTGTGGTATCAATTCCGAGTGTTACGTTTACCAAAACCGGGCCGAATGTCGATGCAAGAGTGGCTATCGAGGGAATCCTCTCGAACGGTGCCGAATCGTTGGTTGTATATCAAACAGTGACTGTCCCACCGACCGGCAATGCATCAACGCCCAATGTATCAACCCTTGCGTTTATGATAATCCTTGCTCGCCTCGAGCCGAATGCCGAGTCCAAAACCACATGTCCCTCTGCCGGTGCCCTGTCGGTTATTTAGGTAACCCCTACGTCGACTGCCACCCACAGCCCCAACCTGAATGTCGCGAAGACAGCGAATGTCCCACCAAACTTGCTTGTATCAATAATAAATGCCAAGACCCGTGTTCCATCCTCGAACCGTGCCAACGGCCGGCTGAGTGTCAAGTCGTGGGTTCAGTACCAGTCCGTACCATGATCTGTGTGTGTCCCTCCGGATACATCAGTAGCGGAAGTGGTACTTGCAACCCTGTAACCGCCATCATCGAAGTCGGTGCTTGTGTCAGCGATAGCGATTGTCCGGCTGATAAAGCATGTTTCAATGGAATATGCCGCGACCCTTGCAACTGTGGTCCGTTTGCCGAATGCCGTGTCAAGAACCACAAACCAGTTTGTACTTGCAAACAAGGCTACGACGGTAATCCCGAATTGGAATGTACTAAAGTCGGGTGTAGGAGCGATGATGAGTGTTCAGGACAACACAGCTGTGTCAACCGGCAATGTGTACCCGTTTGTGCAGCTGATAGGTCATCCTGTGGTGAAAAAGCCACATGTTATGGACATAACCATCGAGCCATCTGCGAGTGTCCCCCAGGTCTTATCGGAAACCCCAGAATCTCCTGTATTTTGGTAGGATGTCGGTCGGACTCGGAATGTCCAGGAAATAGAGCTTGTATCAACAACAAGTGTGAAAACCCTTGCGCTAGTGCCAATCCGTGTGATGCCCCAGCTGAATGCAAAGTATTTAATCATGCAGTCGAGTGTGCTTGTCCACCGGGAACCGTCAGTGATGGCAAAATGGGTTGTATGACGGTCGAAGAGAAGTGCAGGAGAGATTCGGATTGTCCCTCGCAGTTTGCTTGCATTGGAGGAGAGTGTGTCAATCCGTGTACCTCAACACAGCCTTGTGGAGTCAATGCAGAATGTCGTGTCCTCGATACTGAGCCAGTCAGGACCATGATCTGCGAGTGCTTGCCGGGATATCAAGGCAATGCAGCCGTACAATGCGACAAAAGTAAGTTATCATTTAAAATCATACCCTATTGTACAGTCAGTCGATTTGAAAATGTCGTATTCATAAAACGAACTGCTGGGCTTGCTGTCGTCCCTCCGACCACAACCATCTCCAATAAATCGTAAATTTAAAGATTCTTTACCTAAGAACATTGGCAACAAAATGTGAAGTTTCGTATTCACAAAAATTTTAATATATTATTATAACTGTCTATTAGTTACACATTGTTTTAAATATAAAACAATCCGTAAAATCAAATGCTTTAGATATGTTATAATCGTCATTAGAAAACTGCACGAATAGTTATTTATTGTAAGAGTGTGTTAGGTAGCGTTTTATCCACGCAAGAATGTTTAACCGCGAGAACGTCCTGACATGTCAAATTAACGTACAATTGACACCTATTGAAAGACTGTATTTACAGCCGCCTGGGTATTTTACGCACGGCTGTGTCTTGGCCGTGCGTAAAATGATAGTTTTACCGCACCGCCAAAATTATCTTTATAGACATTTATAAAAAAAATTGTTCGTAAGATGATAACATTTTTAATAAAACGCTCAATACACAACCTGCGAATCATAAAACTCCTTTTTCTTCACACCACATTGTACTGGGCTTTATACTTAC